ACACTGAAGCCAGCACGCTTGAAGCAATTTTGAACTGTCGTTGCTTCAACCTGCTGCCACGAGTATTCGAGCAGGTGAATCGCGCCAATCAGGTCGATGAAGAATAATTTGCCACATTCAATGACGAGAAGAAATCTGCGCAGCAGATTCTTCTTGTAGAGCAGTTTTACAGCTCGAATGATGCCTTGGTTCAAGGGCTGGGCAATCGCTGTTGTGTTTGGTGGCAGAGACGCCAACTTCACAGCCGTCAGGTTGTCCAGGGTGACGTGCGCCGAAGCGTTGTCTAAAATAATAACACCTCTTCTGTTTTTGGCCACAAAATGACGATCGATGAAGCGCACGTACTCCTCAAAGAGTTTTGCCGTCATCCATGCTTTGGTGTTGCTGCGATAGATGACCCCTGATGGCAACCGGGCGCCTTTGAAACATCTAGGCTTCGCCGACTTTCCAATCACGAGGAGCGGAGTTTTGTCGGTTCCAGTCATGTTTATGCAAAACACCACTGATATTCTGTCTTTTGCATGCTTGCTGCCGGTGCACATCTCGCCTTTGAACGCGAGTGTTTTGTCTGGTAGCAGCTTGAAGAATAGCGCCGATTCATCCATATTAAAGATGTCATCAGGTGCGTAGTCTTCCAAGATGTTCTTCAGCTGACCATTTTGCCACTGCTCCGCACCATCCACGTCAGCAGCAGCACCTTCTCCCGAAACAGTCCTCATGGTAATGCCGTGCCTTGCCTTAAATCTGGCCAGCCAGCCATTGCTGCACACGAAGTTGTCATGATTGAGCTGCGAGGCAAAAACCAGGGCCTTCTCCACGAGCAGGGGTACGCTGATAGGCAGATTTTTTGACCGTGCAGTTTTTACCCATTTCACCAGCGCCTCCTCTACATCCGAAAACGCCGAACCGTGTAGCCGGCACCTTTTCGCAGTTGCAACAGCACTGCCGAGCAACTTCTCTCTGGAATTCTAAATTCCACACACCGTGGTTAATGGCAGGTCCTTTTCGCGTGCCAGCGCAGATTTTTTTCGTACTATGCACGGCGCCAAAGGAACAAAGAAAGCAAAGCAAGCGCACACCGTGTTTGCGTGTTTGTGCAAAGCACCATCGCGTGGACAACACCAGAAGCCTAGCCGGCCGAGTGCTTCTTGTTGCAGAAAAATCCAAGAGATGGCGCTCACCAACACAGCCGCCATCATCATCAACACAAACAAGCGAGGTGTGTTTCCATCTCTGGGGCTTGCTGTTCTGTCGACACGTCCAGTGGGAGACAACAAGCCACGGCGAGTGTGCAACGAAAATTGGAAAAACTACTTATTAACCGATACATACGTGATAAGCTGGTACGGCTTATGTGGATACAAAATGCATTATGTTCAATGACCGCCGAAACGGGGATTTGACTTCACTACCTTTAAAACGAAACTACTGTTTACGCGTGTACTGTTTAACGAGGTTTCGCTGTATTACTTTCGAGCAAAATAAAGCTAGCGCTCCGTTTGTAACTTTTCTTACTCTGACGTTTCACTGATATCGCATATTAGTGCTTATAGTGGCCAGTGGTGCTGCATCGTCACTAGTGAGCCCAGAAGTTTCATTTTCGTTTCACGACCCCTTTAAATGTGGCAGTGGCTGCTTTTGTAATTTGGTGCTCAGCTTTATTGCTTCTGTATGATTTTACCGCACGATTTGGCATTTTAAATATAGGTCATCTTACCGAGTGTTACCATCGATCTAATCGTTTGTTTTGTGCTATTTGAAGTCATTATTTAATATGCAATATGTATTCATAATTAGTAGATGCTTAAATGACACTTTAAGCCTAAGGAGTCGTTTAGAATATCTTGCGAACTGCTCCGAAAACACTTATGGCTGCTCCAAAGCATGAGTTTTTTCTGCTGCGTAATCTGTATGTTGCTTCCATCACTGCCACAGTGATACCATCATTATGCGAACTGAAGACGAACTAGAAAGGCATGTTGATGTTTTGTCTTATGCCCTTTGCTTTTGAGTTCAGTGCAATAGTAGCGTTTTGTTGTTGTTTGAGCCATTGCTCAACACGAGGGGCACGACGACCAGTTATAGGTGTTTTTGCTTGCTGCTTGGGATCTTAAGATTTTTTTTTCCTTCATTGTGCATTTTCTTAAGATTTTTTTTTCCTTCATTTTGCATTTACTTATGCGGGGATCGTAGTCTCGAATGCAACAGCTAGCAACAGCAGGGTCAGAGCGATTTGGTGGTGTGGTGGAGGCTGGAAACAAACGCATTGCGAAGGCCATGATGCAGAACGCTCACATGCTTCTCTCCCACGTTAAAGAACCCCAGGGGGTCCAAATTTCCGGAGCCCTCCACTACGGTGTCTCTCATAATCATATAGTGGTTTTGGGACGTTAAATCCCACATATCAATCAATCACATGCTTCACCAGTACGGCTGTGTCTGAAAATGCCTAGTGTTAAGAATTTTTGTTCTAGTTTGTGATGGCAATTTCAGTGATGTTCTCATTTTCTTGAAACAGGTGTTTCATTAAACTTCTGTAAGTATGAACGAAAAAAATGCTGTGCATCTCTTCAATCATGCCTGCATTCTTGTGCACTGATGCTCCTTAGAGTGCTAAATTTCTTTTCATTAGAGAATTCTTTGCATCAGTAGAAGACATAGGACTGCGCTACTTGCTTATTAAACTTGTTTGTAGTCATTCCACTTACTTGGAAAAAGAATTCTGGCAAGTCAGAAAAGGCAATGCTTTGTTGTGCTTGATTGTGTGTGTCACTATGAGGATCTTCATATTTATGGCATCATTTTCACGATAGTAATGCCCATGTCACTCAGCAATTTATGAGCTTTGGACAGAAGCTGCAAATGGCCTATCAGCTGCTGCTGTGCCTATGCATGCCAGAGTCATTCAAACTGAAACAAAAACAAAAATTGCAAGTGTGTGCCTGCCAGCATGTTGGAAGCAATATTTCCTGGCAACACTAAGCTGGCATCGATTTCTTTGAAGTTATGCTCACATCCTTTTAATGAGAGCACAGCTCTAGCATTTAGTTCATGGAGCCCATGTTGTGATGGTTTCCACAACATTTCTATGCATGCAGAGGTGAGACAGCTGCGAATACTGCGCATTTTCGATACGTTTGTTTTATTGCACCAAGCTGCTTAAAAAGCATAAAAATCCCGAAAATTGCACCGAACTGCTCGAAAACAGCCTCGAAAGCTAGGATTTTGATGCCAACGTCAGCTTCAGAGGGGAAAGAAAGGCTGAATTACAGTGAACTAGAATGAGCTGGTTTGACAACATGATTTTCCTAGCAGCGCCAGGAATACTAAGACGCGCTCAAGCATGTCTTTCACTTTGTGCCTTTCTGGCGACGCCCTTATCTCCTTTGTACTGTTGTAAATATGCGTGACCCCGCAAAAATATGCTGCCGTGTATTGAGCACGCTGCTGCTTCTAGCTAGGCTGTGTGTTCTGGCGCCACTTTCACTCAGCGAAAACCACTGAGTTAGCCACCCTAACCGAGTGACATGTGTTGCAGGGTTGACTTTGTTGTGCGTAGCTCGTTCTTCTGGTCGCTTATCACTTCGTGCCATATTTGGTGCAGCTAGGTTCTCGCATTGCACTCATGAAAGTGGTCCCGTGCGAGGTAGCCGCAAACAGGGGTGCAGCACGCTTTTGTTGTCTGTTAAAAGCTTGCAGTGCACTGGTGGGAGGAGGGGATGTTATGCCAATCATGAAACTGAGAAGATAGAGAAGCAGACGTACAAAAAGTCAATGCAATAATATACTGAATCATGTCACTTTAAGCGAAGGCCTATAGTTATATAACTAAGATTTTTGTGCAATTGTAATTTTTTAAAATTCTTTCTGAGGGTGAAACGTTTTTCTTTTTAAAATGTTTTCGTAAAGCTAGTTTTTAGGACTTTTTTTTTAATTTCACATGTTTGTTACAAATGCTAGTGCTGCTCATACCTGGCGATAATCTGTTCAAAAGCTTTTTTCAATGTTTCAGTGTTATGCGTATTATAAGCCAATTAAAATATGCATTTCTGCCCCCACGTTCCTAAAATTTGTTTTTCAAGCTCCCATGACGACATATAAATGCCGCTAACTGCTCCAAAGCAAGGTTTGTCTGCTCCAAAATTGGAATTTTGCTGCTCCAGAAACTGCTTCCAATTCAGTCTGTCATCCCACCCCAGTGCATGTGCTGCAGGGGCAGCTAAGAATTAGTCTCTCACTGCTATGACATTTGACAATGTTGAAGTAGAATAATGAGCACTGTAATAAGAAAAAAAAACAGCACACATGTCAACACAATGGCGTGCTTTGACTTATTCAAAGTAGTGGCATGACTGTTTTTTCCGAGGCATTGTTCAGATAGCATGTGCACTAGTACATTTTTTTTCATTTGACGCACATTTTTAATGGATTATGCAATTCGGCTTTTCTAGTCTGGCTTAACCCTAATGGTTCAATTTCTAAGCACCCAGTTTCGATACAAATTTCTCTGTAAACGGCTGCCCCCAAGTTAATAAGTTTAAAGTTGTCAAGTTTTTGGTAATTGCTTACTTCAGTGCAAGTTTAGGTGTGGCAAAGTTTTTCCATTTTCAGCGTGAAGTTCGTTTGCAAAGACGACAGAGGCTGGACAGTCATAACTTTTTTATACAAAATCTGTTCTGTTTCAAAAAAATACCCAGTATACATATGCAGGTATAACACCAGGCAGTGTTTGTGTAGATGTTTTATGGCAAGCGCATCTTTATTCTGGGACTTTATGTTTCCCTTTCTTGCAGTACAGTACATTAGATGAGCTATGAAGGTGCCACGGGCTTAATCAGTCTGTAGAAATAGTGCAGCATAAACAACTGACCATGATGCCCAAGGTGTACAACTGTATAGTTTTTTATATATTTGTCCCTGCCACTTGTCTGTGGAAATTGTTGACCCTGTATTTCAGATGTACCCAAATGAACCAGCACTTTTCTATATTCTGTGTGCAGACTGGTTGGTGGTTTTCTAAACCTGAGCAACGAGTACTGTTTTGTCGTGGAGGACGAGACTGGGGTGTGTGGCTATGCATTGGCTGCACTAGACGCACAGCAATTCAGCAAGAAGCTGGAGGTGGCTTGGATACCCGCACTGTGTATCAAGTACCCTGCACCCAATAAGGAATCCTCGCAGCTGCTCACCCCTTCAGAGGTGGGAAATCTGATATTGGCTGTTATTGCTCGCATTATGCATGCCTGTGCTGCTGTTGCCTTCAACTTCTAAAAATGGTTCACTTAGAATTGTTGGGTTTTTGCATGAGAAGTACTACGTTTTGCCCTAGTGTGAGAAAATGTGCTTAGCTAGGTGCATTACATTTCAGATAAGACATAGTTTACAGCGAAAGCTGTTATGAAATCACAACTCTATGATGCCATGGTTGTCCGCCGCCGCCGGCACCAGTGTCTGTAACCACATCGTGCAAAATTGGCAAAAAAACCTAGTACCAATGACTCGGTAGGGCTCGAACCCGGGTCCGGTGGGTGCCAGCTCAGTATTCTACCTCTGAGCCACGGCGGTGCTTGGGACTTGTTGGAAAATTTGCCTTAAGCAGGCTTCCTGTCAGGGAAGCAATCGCAGTAATACGACTTATAAAACGTTTTAAAACAGTCCACAGAATCGTACATCTCTTACATCGAAGATGTGATTTCGTTGTGTCGAAAAGTCAATGACGAGATGCCGGAGGCCGACGAAGTTGGGCATATTCTTAACGGGATTGCCGACGACACCTTCAATCTTCTAATATGTTAGAATTGATCAACCGTACATGCTATTATAAAAGGCGCTTTGAGCAAGCTAAGAGTCAGCGCAATGACGGAGAGTTTGCCTGGCTTCCCAACACGGCTGCAATGTCGTCGTGCGAAGATCGCACGAGAACGCAATCACCGGCTCCCGTTTCGCTAGACCAGGTGACTAGGATTGTAAGACTAGAATCTTGCTCTGCTTTGACCACTAGTTGATGCAATTGGTAGCATAAAATAATTGAGTGCACAAATGTAGCCACTACTGCTGAAGGGAATATGCGACAAGAAAGTCAGGGAAAACATGGGGTAAAGCATAATCTGTCTGTCATTTGTAGCCACACTACAAAATCTCTCAGGTGAATAAGAACACTTTTCAAGTACTGAAGGTGCATTTGTAAAAGCTTGCTGTGGTCTCATTTTCATTTTTCAGTGTCATGAATAGTACTGATTTCGGTTCAAAAACATGGTTAATCCATCAGTGCTGAGCGTATTTCTAAAAGTACGGCACCATTTTCAGTATTATGTGCACTTTTTTCCTTATGTCATTTCGTTAGTGTATTGCCAAGATGACCACATTGTAGACTTTTGTCCACTCTGTGTTGTCATTCACCAAACGTAAAGTACTGAACATAGCAAGCACTCTTATGTATGCCACCCAATACTTCATCAGTCTCAGTATATTTGCTTTTGAAAGCTGATTTGATGTAGAAGGTTTTAAAAGATGCCAGAAGTGATGAAGGCACAGCATTGTGAGATGTTGGGCAGCTCCATGGAGTCCCAAAAGAATGGCAATCACATTTAATGTCAGTAGGTACCAAGAATTGATAAAATTGGCTGATAGATATTTTTTGGCGTTATTGGGTTAAACTGTGTACTGCACTTTTGTTGAAAGAGCCAGCTGATGTGCCAACAATGTAAACATAAATTTTGTAAAAAAATATGCAGTCAGTTGATTTTTGCTACTTCCCTTTTATCTGTTTCATTAGCACATACATACTGTGCACAGTACTTGGCCAACTCCCTTTAACTCCTTTTAGTGCTGTGAAAAGCGAAGAGAGTTGTATAAAATTTACCAGAACTTTATTGCGACTCAGTTTAGTTTTTTTTATTCAGTTTGTCACATTCCTCTATTGCAAAACTTTTCTTGATTTACTCTAGTTCGGTTACAGAATCGTCTAATGAGTAGTCATCATCACTTACTGCGCAAGGCAGTTTTTTTTTTTCATGCCATGAGTGTAGCTGCCGTCGGCTACCATTTAGAAAAATTGGAACTTCTTTTACCTTTCTATTTTGCTGTGTTACTCTTATGGTGACATAATTGGCACAGTTGATTATGGACTAGCCGGCCACTTTTAGACAGTTTACTGGAATTTTTTTATGTGCGCTAGTATAAACACGATAGGTAAAACAGCCCTTCTGGTTAGAACTTGAGGGTGTGCGAATGATGTTCTGTTCATGAATTATCTTTGCAGCAAATAATGAACAGCTTCCACGCAAAGGCTGTCAAAGTCCCAGATGTTGTATACAAGCACCACCCATCATGCGTGACCATGAGTATGCTGCCCTCAATCGTGGATTCTAGCGTGTCCAAGCGGTTGCTGGCTTGTGTTCTAGCTGCCCTGAAGTCAAATGGTGAGTATTAAGTTATCATTTTGTTGGAAGTCAAGTCAGTTTTTCTGTTTTAACAAATTATGAATCGCTTTTCCTGTAAACGAAAAAATGCTAAACTTATATTGTTAAGTTTAGCTAGATGTCTAGCCTTGAGGGAAGTGGTAGAGCTGACTGATAAAGTATCATTGTCATTATTGGTACAAATATAACTTGCAGAACGGTGCCTGCTGAATTATTCTTACAACTCGTGGTACTTGTTTTTTGCACTCTCCAATTCAACTAGGGGTGGTATTCTTGCATTATCTTTGTTGGCAACTATATTACTTTGCAAAGTTCTTTATAATTTCTTACCAGATTTGTCAGTGGTACTACATGGCCAATGAAGTTGGTACATACCCTGAAGACAGCAGATGAAGGTGGGAGTTTTGTGGAACTGTTCATGCTGTGACAACTTCTTTCCTATACCTGCTACTCTTGATCGTTTGTAGCCACAGCATGTCAATCATTTCTGATTTGCTGGAATACCCACTCTAGGTGCTTGCAATGTGCGAGGCAGAATTTTTTTTTTTTTTTTTAAGGAGAGTTGAGGAAGGAAGCTAATAAAATGAAATTTGCAGGAAAACCTCTCCTTGAATTTATGTCACTCAAGTAAATGAGCATACTGTGTGTCCTGTTCTCATAAATGTTGCACTTTTGTGATCATGCCAATAAGATAAGGGAAATAAGCTGCCGCACTGACGCATTTAAAATGTCCTTTTTTCGCAGGACGATAGCGCGGTGGAACAGGTTGCCTTATGAAGTAGCAGAGGTTACTTCGCATAAAGTATTTTCAAGATTACTTCAGGGTCTAGAGTGGTGTACTCGCGAGGATGTGTAGGGACGAAACAGTACTGTGAAGCTGCTTTGTATTGTTTACCCCCACGTGCCGCTACGTATAGTTTACAATGAATTTGTTATTATTGTGTTGTAGAAGTGCAAGTATCTGTATTCAGTGTTAAAATTTTGTATTGCCCCCCCCCCCCCCCCCCCGTAATGCCCTTGGGCGCTGTGGGCACTATGATAAATAAATAAACTAAAGAAGCTATGTGCTTTTGCTCATTCAAGCTTCAGCAACAATTGCAGAATCCTGACATCTACTGCCACAAGTGTGTTTCTCTAAAAGCAGGGAAAAGAGAGATGATGTTCTTTATAGGCCCTTAGTCTTTCTTGCTATACCTCATTAATGTATGCAAAAAACCAGTCCCAGTTACTGTTCTCTACTAATCTACAGGTACAGTAATAGTTACTAATCTCACAATTTAGGTACTAGCAATTTTTTCATATGCAAATTTTTTAGTTTGCCTGCCTATTTGTGCAATTACATAATTACTTGAAAACTGTTTTACTGTAAGTCAGCATCACTGAATTCCAGTAATTAAAAAGCAAAGGTCTAGCAAACCGTCATATGCCACAGTTTTATATCAAAAGGACTATGTTTTGTGCTCAATTTCAGCTGATCACCATTATGCAACTGAATCTTAGTGTAGACAATTATCTACTCACTCCAAATTGATAATGCGAGAACTGTTGCAAGTGCATGCAGGAAAGAAACTAAGTGTGACAGCCTAAGGTATCTTCCATGCATTTGTAATCATTCAGAGATTTTTAATTGCTACTGCCATTTTTGATGGTTTATTGGTTACTCGATCGCACGGTTGCTCTATTTAGGGTAACACTTTTTGAAGCAACTTACTTCAAGACTGGTGCTCCACTGGATTAAATTGCACATACCGACTAAAAACTGCCAATTTCTTAATGCACTTTGCCAATACCTGTAGGCCTGAAGCGTCACATTTGATCTCATGAAATTTTTGTGCAAGCTTTTTCTTAGGTAAAAGACCGATATACTGGTGTTCTCTCTATAATACCCCTGTCACACAGCATGTGTAATGCCATTTGCAGCGAATGGCATTCAAAACGAATGTCATTGCGATCTTGCATACTAGGTTCACAGACTACATGAAGTTACATTCGCAGTTCGTGTCAATGTTTATTGGCAGGCTGCTGCGATACCAAAAAGTTACAAATTGTGCATTTAATTTACATAACATTGTTCGGCTGATTGAAAATATGCTGCGATGTGATAAAACAGCATCGGTAGAAAAAAAAATCCTCATACCAAAGCAAGACTAGCTTAAAGCTTCTAGTCATAATTTGCAGTCGGCAGTACTTGAAACCATGAGAGCGTTCATAAATTTGCAACCGTAATAAATTATTACCAGTGCAAAGGAATGAAAATTGCTTTCCACCTGCTGCGAATAAAGCACAAGAACCGACTGAAGCGCCTCAAACTTGATATTGAAAGATCAGACGATGAGGGATTTGGAGCTGCGCCTACTCGCGAGTTTGTTCATGCTGCTCTTTGGGCTTCGACTTCGTCAGCGAATAAGAGAACTGCGGCGCTTCCCAAGAAAGGAAAATTGGTTAAAAATGCTCTCCCTAAACTGGCGTCCATTGTGCGTGCTCTGCTACTAGTTAGTCCTAACGCGGTGAAGTTGCACCAGAACAGCGAGCGTGTGTAAACGTGGCTGACAGGGTGTTATATCGTCAAGTCAAAGTCTGGGAAAGAGAATATAGCGGCACAAATTGCTTCCACTATCGCGTTGCACGTTAAAAAGTTACCGAAAAGTTAACAACCTCTAATAAACATTTGAACATCGTTTACACTTGCTTTAAGATGTCGATTTTGTAATCTCTTGTCAAGTGCCTGTTGACGAGAGTATACATGTCGCGCTTCCATGAGTTCAGTGAACACACCCAACGAGTGAATGTCATTAAGTGTGAATGTCATTTACTATGCCCATGTAGAATTAAGGAAAATGACATTAAAGCCTAATGTCATTCATAGCGAATGATAGAGATACCGTGTGATAGGGGTATAATACAAATTTCTTCCTTGCCAAGTCTGAGCCTCCATTTTGGTCAATTCATTGGCAGTCTGCTAAAATCCCTTCAAGGTGGTGATGCAGGCCATCTGGTTTGAGTCGCTTGTAATCATATTTGCAACTCAAAAAACCAGATGCCGACACAAGTAAGAAACATTTGGGACGTTAAACTTAACATATTAAACACAAGTACGTGTTTCTTAACAAGTACACTGGACGGGCGCTAGCATCCTGTGTATGTGTTCATTACTTGGGTTTGCATCTGGTTTTTTTCACTACAAATATAACAAGGTAAATTTTTTTATTGGGTTTCTTGTGATGATATAACTGCACAAAATGGTTGAATAACCCACTGGTGTTGTCACACTGGAGGAAAAACTTGTCGCTGATGTGTGATGTGATGGTGTGACAATCGTCGCAGAACTGTGAGTACTTTCACTGAACTGAAAGAAAATTGCCTAACACAATGGACATCGCACCGTGGCTGGCAGTTATGCAGACCTCACGATACAGCAGCTAGAGAAAGCTTCACCATGCAAAACTTGCCTGTCAAAACTCATAACTTGAGTCTTGTAAAATATGCCTCATACCCTATATAGTCTAATAGCATTGTCAGTGACCTCACTGTTCATAAACATGCAGCTTAGTGACCATTCTGTCTGACCTCTGCAGGATCACATGGTGTATTTTCCCAAGTGCTGATGGGAGACAAGAATGTCGTCGAATTCTACTCGAAGCTGGGCTTCCTCGAGATAAATTTACCAGACTTCCTGCACGATGACACTTCCTTCCTTGGCCGTACCTTCTAGCCCGAAAGATGTTCCTACAGTGACACATACTGTATAGACATCGCAACTGGGGCAAGGGCTGTTCCAAGGAGACTCATCCCATTCGGGCTTTTAGATATACACCATGTAAATAAAATTTTTAATTTCTTTCTTTACTTTCTCTTGTTCGGACTACAGGCTTAAAGAATGAAAAAAAAAAAAAAAAAAACCTGCATCTCTTATCACTTGGTGCTGCTTTCACATGCTGGCAACCTACATGGGAAAAACTACAGTACACTTAAATGTAGGTTTTCAGCCTTGTCACAATTGAGCAGCCATGGCTGGGAATTAAAGGGGTACCGACACCATTTTTTGAAGGCAATTTTATCTAGCCGAACAAATCTCCTGTATAAAGACTTCTGTGAGCAAGTGTAAAGCTCGGCAAAAGTCAAGTTCACCATAACACACCTACAGACATGGACACTAGATTGATGTCTGGCTACATTACTAATTCCGGTGACTTCAAGCAGCAGTCTGGCTAATTGTAATGACAATAGGTACAAAAATGTTCAAAAATATCACCAAAACATTCACAATGGCAGTTTGTATGGCGGAAGCTGAGCCATGGTGTGGAGCGGTGGCAGAACCATCTTGGTGAGCATGTGACAAGGCCATACAGTGTTGTTACATCAGTGTACAGTAGTAACTGAAAGTAGCTTTTAAAAACTGCCGCGCCTATGCAAAACATATTAAAAGAGCGGCCTTTCTGAAGCCTTTTATTTTAAATGCTCTTTCGGCAACTACCTTAAGTACACTTGCAGGGTACCCATTACTTTGTAAATCTTAATTTTTATGTAGTAGGGAGGCATCCACTATGTCATCCTGCAAAGAAGCAGCTATACACTTGCAAGGAATGCTGTGCATTTTGTTGATGTAAGGCTGATGATGAAGCATAATGCCAGAGGCTTTTGTAATGGGTTGGGGCATTTTACAACCCACTTGTTATGCAATTTGCATTGTGTGACACCTGGTTGTGTCTTTGCTGTTCTAAAAGGTTTTGTTATCTGACGTAGGGTCAGTTTGCAACGGAAGCACGGGCGTAGCTCCACGGTAGAATACTGGCCTGGCATGCAGGGGAAGCAGGTTCGACTTTATTCTGTCCTTGGCATTTTTTAAAATGTGATGCATTTCTTAGTGAACTTTGGCAACTTTGAGCGTATCTATCATCTAGCCACTTACGTTTGGGTGCTCTCCTGATCACCCCCTTAACTTGGTGTGAACCAAAATCAGCATGGCAGAGTAAGATGGTTTGCCAAATATGACGTGTTGGTCAAGACGTGAATAATGTCACAATCTCATCACTACTGTCGTCAAATGATTTCCACCAGACAGTGGCACATACCCACGGGCAGGTGTGTGCAGCTGGTATGCGGGTATGTGCCACAGGTGATCGACACTTAAGGTCTGTTTGATTCACCTGCACCACATGAACCAGTTTGCGAGATGCTGCACCTTTTCATTCTTTTCAACGGTGCAGCATGGAGGACCTCTGAACCCTGACATTTGTTTTGAGAGGTGCAGCGCTGGTTCACGATTTTCCTGCACCTCCTACGCTATGGTCCTGCATAGTGCTGCTGAGCAAACGAAGCAGCACTTTGGCGTAAGCGCCGTGCCCACCTCGACTAACGTGATGTGTTTTGCCAAGTTGTTTGCACCTCATAAACTGTACGCATGTGCGGTTCGCCATCAGTCAGTGTTAGCTGAACCGTGTAAATTAAGTGAACAGAAATGAGGCTTGCACCTTGTTAGCACATCGTCATTCGTTCCGGGTGTCGCACTGTGCCTTCACCACCGAACTCGCGCTGCACAATTTCTGAACTTCTCGTGCACAGCCGTGAACCGGTTCAGATTGGTGCAGGTGAATCGAACAGACCTTTAGTATCTACTCGGGAACAACAAGAACACACATGGGCAAATTTAACACGCGAGCGTTAACAAATACCCAACATCAGTAGCGCCAACCCGACGAATGCAAAGAGTAAATGTCAGGGTCCCAGATGGAATCGAACCCAAGCATTCTGCGTGGCAATGAAGCATTTTACCACAGAGCTGCACCACGTTTTGGAAATACTTTTCAAATAGACGCTAATATTCGTGAAAAATCAATAGTGGTTGCAGTGCTGCCTACCCAATTTTATAAACATTACATATGTACTCCTTTGAAACAGCCGTCATGCGGGGTTAATGTAAATTGTGGTTAGTTGCCATGCGCTGAAGTTTATTTATGTTGCAGTGTCCAGAGCCAGCATCCTCGCGAGCATCAGCGCTTCACGTCTGCTTCTGGTGTTGTTAATACGCATGTTCCAGGGGCATCATTGCACAAGTGCAAACAACTGGTTATATAAACATCTCCAACTCTTTATATAAACATCTCCAACTCTTCAACATATGTCTGTGCGTACAACATTTGTACATATATTTAGTGTCATTTCATGAAGTGTCGCTTAATAAAAAAATTTATGCATGCTTCGCATAACGTCAATTTCCAGGTACGTGGGATCTGCCTAATCTTTCATTCATTTAGTTTTTTTTCTTATTTCGCGCAATAGTGGTTACGGACCCAGGCAGCGGACAACTACGTCCCAAAAATTATGCTTGTGACTTTCACTGTAACAGCTTTCACTGTAAAACATAGTAATTACTTTTTCAGGGTGCACTCGCTCGTAGCAGCACATTTCCAGGTGGCTGACGGCTTGCCCTCATGTTTGATACAAGAAAATTACAATGAGAATTTTCGTGCAAGTATCCCTTTAAATCCATGCCCTCCTTCTTAGCAAGCGAACCACCACACTAGTGCAAAGACAGAAGTGTAATTGGGTTGCTGACACCATGGTAGTGAACCATGTATCGGTAGGCTATTGTTTGAACTGCAGTCCAAGTAGACATTTTATTTAGTCCACAGCGCACATACTTCCATAAAGGTGTTTAAACTTTGCCTTTGCAGCAGTTGAAAGTACGACATCTACAATAGAATAATTGCTGTCGTGGGCATCCACAATTGATGAAATGAAAGTGCCCTCCCTATACAGCCAGCTGTACTCTGAACCTCCTGTAGAAACCCGAAACCTTGCCACTGACCGGCCAGTGTTTTCGATAAGCCTCTGCTCGATGACGACCCGCAGCTCGGCGAGCCCTGTGCCGTCCATGCACGAAATAGGTATGCACTCCCATCCGTTCTCGGGCACTGACGACGGCAATAAGTCGACCTTGTTTCCCACTTGAATCATGCTGTCGAGGAGCTTCTGTGGCACACCTATCTTGTCCAATGTCTCGAGAACGTTACTGCGCTGAGCTTCGCGGTCGGGGTGGCTCAGGTTGAGTACGTGCACGATGACATCTGCGAGAACGACATCATCGAGTGTCGACGCGAAGGATGCCACTAGAGTCGTTGGTATGTCCGAGATAAAGCCGACGGTGTCCATGTAAAGAACACATTTCAGCATGTTAAGTCGACCCGCATGCGCAGTGACGTCAAGCGTGGCAAAGAGCTGGTCGCGCGGCTGTAGACGATCGTCGTCCGTTAGTCGTTTAATGAGCGCAGTCTTTCCAGCATTCGTGTATCCAACGACAGCCACAGTTGGGAACTCCAGCTGACGTCGTTTCTTTCGCAAAAGGCTACGTTCGTCCTTTATTTGCGCCAGTTGCCTGCGTAGTGCAGCTTCGCGGGTCTGCAGCTGCTGCTGCTGTCGCTCGTAGTAGGTCTGGCCAGTGCCAAACGTATTGCGGCCGGTACCCTTGTGCAGATGCCAGATACGGGCGCGGTAGTACGGGATCTCGGCAAGAGCTATCTGCAGCTTGGCTTCTTTCGTGCGAGCGTGGTTGCGAAATATATTCAACACCACCGTGTACCGATCGTAAATTGGCAGGCGAAAAAACTCTTGAAGTGCTGCGTGCTGGACGCCCGTAAGAATATCGAAATTGATAAAAATGGCAGTGGCTGACTTTTCCTTGACGCTGTCCTGAATTCTTTCCAAGTTTCCCGACTTGAATATTAGCTTTCTCATGTCGTTGTCAGTCTTAAGAGTCAGCCTGCCAGCAGCTTTCCATCCCGGTAACGTTTCCAATAAGGTGACTGCTTCAGCAAGCTGCAAAGCGGTAGTAGTATCTGTCCTCAACCGTTTCCCCTTTTTAATTTGAGGCTGCACTACGAGAAAATCATGACCAACACGTGGCAAATTAAGTAAGGCAAACTTGGGCTGCTGCTCTACATAGGCGTTACTCTGCACATAGTTTTCGAACTCTGTGAAGTTGGTTTCGGTAAAAGTTCGTAATGTAATTAGTGGGTTATTTGTTCGGTGAGCACACAACTTGGATCCAAGCACCGGAGAAAAAAACTGGTGGCGAGAACAGGGATGCAGCATAATGAAACAAGCGCGTCTTGAAATAAACGAGACATTAGGAAATATCACCATTGTGAGATGTTAAAGGCACTAGTCGGACCAGAGTAAAGGTGTTCGCATGGTACACTTACATCAACATGAGCACAATTCACATTCCTCTCGCAACTAGCGCTGCGGTAGTACCAGAAACACGTAGTAGTACCAAGGTAGTACCTCCAATGGTACCTCACCAACACTATTTCACATCACGTGGGAGTGTGCAGAACACAAGGCGTTGGCAGAGCACGACGAAGAACACGACACCATTGGCACATGAGACGAATGGGAGGCGCTGCTGTCTTGCTCAGCCTAAGGTTCCTAGATCAAGCCTTATGTTACTCAATGGATGAGGGACTTTAGCCCAGCCCTAATGGAACAAGCTGAACGGAGGCTCGTGCCAGTGGGGCCAGAGAACACCGTGGGGCCACCCTGCCGGACAGACTACGCTCTTCACCCTGTATATTCCTCACGGCACTGAAGTTCTAGCCTGTCTGGTTTATGTATACAATAAAGTTTTGTGCTACTACTACTACTACTACTACTACCTCTCCACGCTGTAAACACCATGGTACAGTCGTGGTACAGTCACAGAACACCTATACTAAAACCTATACTAAAGTGTACTAAAAGTGTTGAGTGGCGTGACCGCGCCTCGCGACAAGCCTCGCCGTCTGATCCCTTCCGCGTTGCCCGCAGTAGCGGCGCTGCAATCGAATAGTACTGAAGAGAGCCGCGCGCCGCGTGCAGGAACTGCTATGCGCTTCGGCTCCTCAGTCGCGCTTTCTTGATGCAGATTTCTTCGCACCTGCCCATCATTCATGTCTAGCACACGATGACATAGCCCTTGAAATATTACACGCCAATCTACTGAATTTGAGCTCCATAAAAGCTCTTGTGAGAGATCGAAAATAATTCAGAAAGGGTGTGTCTTATACCGATTTCTTCTCTCTTAACTCTTTCTTCGTTGGTTAGGTGTCTACAATATTCAAAATAACTGGGCCGATTTATTGGAAGGTAGCTGTGCTCAGAAAGCTGCGAGATTAAAAAACAAATACTGTCACACGCACGCAGAACCAGAAATCCATAAGAGGGAGAGGATGGTAATCTGAACCCCCTACACCACGAAATGTTTTCATAATTTAACTTTTTAGGGTATACTAAAATATTTAAACGTATTCACAGCGACCACTAATTGCCAAAGTTAGGCGTTCTGCTGGACACCTGAACCCCTCAAAAAAAAAAAAAAAATCCTGGGTCGCCCTGCTCCAATAGTTTACAGTTGCCGAAGATGAATATAGCGTGTATATACAAATGCGCACTGTAGATTTCACATTTTCGACAGTATGAGGTCTCAAAACTAGTTTAAATCTAACGAAGTCGGACGATAAGTGCACCGCCTAAAAATAGTAGCTGTGCTAAGGGGCATATCATATATATATATATATATATATATATATATATATATATATATATATATATATATATATATATATATATATATATATATATTATATATATATATATATATATATATATATGTATGGGATATCGCACAACGGGAGCGTTGTCAACAAGGATAAATATATTTATTTCCCAACAGATTCGGGAGGGGTCCTCCCTTCATCAGGGGATAACTCATCCCCTGATGAAGGGAGGACCCCTACCGAAACTGTTGGGAAATAAATATATTTATCCTTGTTGACAACGCTCCCGTTGTGCCATATCCCATACCTTCACAAAGACTAACTGGCCCAATGAATATTACTCCCACTGTATATATATATATATATATATATATATATATATATATATATATATATATATATATATATATGTGTGTGTGTGTGTGTGTGTGTGTGTGTGTGTGTGTGTGTGTGTGTGTGTGTGTGTGTGTGTGTGTGTGTAGAATAATGTGTGCGTGTGTGTACATATATAAGGAAGGTAGGTAGGTAGGTATAAACTTTATTTTTCCTTTGTAAAGGAAAGGTGCAATGGAAGAGAGATGAGGAGAGATTGCTACGCTCGATAGTCCTCCGCAACCCTCTCTGCCCAACCCAGGATGGCCTCCTGGACGTCGGGTTTCAAGCTGCGCATGGCAGCCTCCCACTGCTCCTCATTACTAATTAATTTTCGAAGGGACGGTGGAGGGGGGTGCTTAGGGCACCCCCACATGATATGATTAAGATTTGCTTTCTGTGCGGAGCAATATTTACAGGAGGAGGACGGGTAAAGAGAAGGGTACATGAGGTGAAGAATGTAAGGAGAAGGAAAGGTGTAAATTTCTCAATACAAGGTGCACCATTGCCTGCCTACACTTTTTACAGTTAATAGAACTGAACTTATAATACGAAACATCATCATGAATTTGCTGGCTTTCAATGGTGTTATGCCCATAGAGTATTTGGAAAACAGCACAATTTAAGCTGTAGATACAAAATGAGAATTGGTTACAATGAATTTACGGAGATGAACAGACGGGCTATATATACAATTGGCCCTTTTGTATATGTTTGTATGAGTATATGTTTGTGTGCTGTTTTTAATATGAATATGTTATAAGCCTTTTAGAAAGCAATAATTATTATCTTCTGCAAAACCGGCATGATAAAACTGAGTCGTCACCACTATAAATGTAACAACGTTACCTATACTTGGGTTTCTCGTGAAACAATCAAGCACAACTAGGCTCATATGAGGAACACTGTACTCTGGATATCGCAGAGACTGCCGACAAAACGAGCGTATGATTTAAACGCGGTTTCGATACTTCTTCTTTTTGTGTAGTTCGCCAGTAGCCACTTATGATGTAACGCAGCTCAAAGCGCTGATTGAGTAAGAAGCTAGCCGGATGCGTGCGAATTCCTATTGGCATTTTTTTTTTCTTTGGGTCGGCAGGCTCTTGAAACAGTGATTGTATCGACGCAATTTTGGCGTGCCTACATATTCACTCGTGCACCATGGCGCATAGCAAGGGCGTCCACTGATAAAGGCTCAGAAACGCGCTAAAACGAGCAACTACACGCTTTCACAGGCTCGGGCACGCGTGCTCACAATGCAGACGCTTTTGAGATCTTCAGTACCATGGGACTACAGCGCCGCTGCTGCTGTCAACCGCCGGAGAACCAGCCGAGATGCGGTTCGGCCACCTCGTTCACTCCATTGCTAGGGTACCATTTCCCCCACTTTCCTTGCTCCGTGATTTCCCCTAGTCTATAGTTAGCCAGCATACTATAGTAGTGCAGAACCAAAGTGGTGAAACAGAGTATAGTGTAGGTGTTCTGCAATGTATTTACTGCACGATTGCAGCGCCAAAAATCCCTCTAAGTAATTAAAAAAAAAACTTTATAGTCGCAGTATTATCTGAAAACTGACCACAACTGACAACACACTTTTTATAAAAAATGTTAAAAAAAGTTTTAAACATTATTTAGACTGACATGTTGTTCAATTTATTGCCATAAAAATTTTGGCATTGAGTGTGAAACTACAGCTAGATTTTTGCTGCTACTTGAGAACACGTCATTGCTTTACACGTTGGGCATTCGGATGAAAACGATGATGAAGTCTGCTTCACGTTCTGTCTCCGCGCCTCCCTGACTGTGGTGCTCATGTGATGCTATGGACCGTATGTTTTTGGACTGTCATGCTTAGACAGTAGGATATGATGCATTTCTATGCGTTTGCTATCATTCTATGCGTCGTAGTTGTTGGAAGCGCGAGCGAATCGCCTACGAACGAACTGCCAGATTGCTCCCAAGCTCCGAAACCAAGCGACGAGAGAAAGACGTTCCGGTGAGAGCATGACTCATACATAGCGCTCAGTGTAGTGCGCGCCTTTTTGTACAAGTTAGCGTGGTTCCGTAATGTACTGTGCATGGGATTGCTTATTTGTTGCCATCAACATTATCTCGTTGTCGATTATCTTGTCGATGTGTCTTGCATCCTACGCACACTTTTCCTGTTCGCTCGCGCGGCTACATTGAGTGCCGGTGAGACACTTGTTAGATCGCGTGATGAAAAAAAAAAAAAAATGAGTGTGTTGTTTCTCTGCATCATGAAAGGTTGCTTCCAAGGCAATGCTTGTTTTGTCATCGTCAGAATGTCAGTCGAAATTTTCTTCCTGGCGTGTTGGCTTGCAGCTGACATTAGGCATTTTTCTTTTGAAATGGAGTTTGAGAACGAAGCGCCCTTACCGCGGTTGCATTTGTAAAGCAGAGAGAGGGCTAATTTTCTAGTGCAAGAACTAATGGCCCCTATTTTTGCTTGCTTACAGCGAATTATTTATTGTGAGCACACTCGATGGTAAAATATCGGCGCTTGATCCCAAGGCTCACGGAAACCTGGTATGGTCGCATGAAACGGGCCCAGGGGGCCTTCTGTCTTCAAGCCTTAGTAAACTGGAAGTAAGATAACATTATTATTATTATTATTATTATTATTATTATTATTATTATTATTATTATTATTGTTGTTGTTGTTGTTGTTGTTGTTGCTGTTGTTCCATAAAGATCTGAACTATGAATACTATTCAGATACAATTTAATATAGTCAGCTAATGCACATTTTAATACATCTGTTTAAGTAGTTATTTCTACATAGTTGCAAGTATTCGGATGTATTACCTGTCTTCTGCTGAAATGGACGCTTGGGTGTGTTGGTGTGACATTCTTGTCTACAGTTTCCGCTGATTTATTAGTAAATGTGCCTGACTTAGTATGTGAATTGAATATGAAAGCTACCAACATTGTAGTAGTGGTCATTAGTTTCGTACAAAAATTAGCTTGCCTAATGTCCAAAACTGTAGTGTCCTTGTAAAAATCACTGTCAAAAGCTTCATTTTTAAATATTCCACCGAAATCGCAAATGAGGACGTCACGGATTTCAAAGTGTTTTTCACATTTTGGCCACATTGTTTCAACTAAACTCCCGAAAATTGGTATGTTATATGTCTGCCTCGCTGAAAAACAATGCACTTCATTTTAAATAATTAGGAACTTTGTAGACCCTTGTAAATGACGTCAAAATCTATGACGTCATGACAACTAATGTGAGAACTTCATAGTGCCATTGCCACGTACACTTTCTTTTTGTGCATTTTCTCGCTTATCAAGCGATATCTAGCAGCAAGTTTTCGTGTCTGGTATCATGAGAGAGCAATTTGAATTTACTAATATGACAATGATTATTTTTTCCTGTAGCGTTCCTTTGAATGAATGATTATTTAAAGGGGTGGTGCCACCAACTTTGTGGCATGCGTGTTCTTTGCTGTAAGCGTTTCCTTCAGCTCCAGGAAGCATGATACACGCACCAAGGTTCGTGTGTTTTCGCAAAATAATTTGAATATTGCTCTTGTTATATGGACCATTTTCGGTTTTGGTTTCGTGGCCCCGAGTTGGGCAGTGACGTCGATGGATAGGTGGCTTGGTCACGTGATCACACAAGGCTGTGACGCACATTGTGCTGAGTTTCGTCTGCTCTCACACACACACGTGCCACAGAAGCGCCAGCAAAACAAGCGCGCTGGAAGTCGCCATGGCCAGCTGCAACAGTGTCCAGGCAGTTGCAAGGCAAAAGGCAGCCAGAAGGAAACAAATCGTTTATATTTACAACATATGTACTCTGGAGGAGGAGGAGGAGGCAGCCCCGCTGTTGGACGCGCGCAGCGTCTCTGACGGACGTCTTTGTTGTCCGTGAAGGACGTGTTGAGTGTCTCTTCGAAAGTACCCAGTGTCCTTGACAGACGCACACAGTGTCTCTGCAAGGGACGCCAGCACAGTTGTAACAGCAGCCTCATTTCGGAGATGGGGGAGGTCACTGATGTCACTAAAAATCTGGTTTGACGTCATGACAATAGCCGTTTCTTCTCCTATTCTGAAACGTCAGTGTTGCTGCGCAAGCGAAGGGACTAGATCGTGAGAGTGAGCATTCAGCTACACTTTTAGAAGTAAATAAATTAATTCTACGCATTTGTTGTGCCCGACCCTTTGGGTGGAGAGTCCTTGCATACAGAGGAAACCCTCAACAGGCTTGGGATAGCCTTGAAGTTTGGTGGCACCACCCCTTTAAAAGAAAAATAAAGCAACAATTTCTTTGTCGCAATTGTGTTCCAAAATATTTTTTGCAGGTAACATGCATCATTTATTCTTGAGTCATAAAACTACACTGTATATCTTGTGAATAATATTATGCATAATTGCCTGTTTTTATGTGCATTCGACGAAGGTCTCTTTCAGCGATCTCTCATTACCTAGGTCTTGCCTAACCTGTCCTCATCCTATTTAGAAAAATTTGCTCATTACATCACACCACTTAATTTCTTGTAGTCCACAGACTCTGCTCAATTTTAATTTTTTTTTGGTGGCCATTACGCTGCTTGAACGCTTGTCAAAAGATGTTATTCATTGTAGAATACTCTGTGCTGAAGCCAGCGCATTTTTTGGTCCTGGTTTGACCAAAGCGTTGCGCTGATTTCATTGGAAATTGGTTGCAATAATGAATATTTTGGACCATATCAGACGTAATGAAATGGGCTTACAATATCTCGGGCAGTGTCTTCTTCTTTATGTTCTAGTATGACTGTGACAGGTTCAGTAAATAAAGCCAGTCGAGCTAGCTGTGAAACGTTACTCTCTCACGAGAAAAGGAAGTGAGCGTTTGATTTGCAAAAAAAATTGTACTTTCACAAACACACAAAAAAACACAAAAAGGAAAATACTAAGATTAGAAAAATGTTAACTAATTAGCACTGTCAGCTTCGTTAGCGAGCGGAAACCTCTAAGAGTCTAAACAGTCCTTTTCGTTAATGTCCTCGTGTTTGAGTCCGGACGCGAAAGAAGACGGATACGGCTCACCAGCGGTTCACGCCCTTCAATAGTCCATTGGGGAAGTTGCCGTGGTGAGAGTACATAAGCTCGGGCCCGTAGCCCGACGGCTTGCTCCCGCTCCCGGTAGACGTCATCTGCTGCGCCGTCTTCCGCTCGAACATCAGACCAAGGTCTTGCCAAGGATTCGCCAATAGCCGCTGCGGTTGAATGGTCACCAGGACCCCGTGGAAACAGTCGCCAGCTAGGTGGATGCCCTGACGCCCCGGAGGTACTCGCACCCGACGAGGTCGCACGCCGCACCCTAGCCTTCTTTTTTTAAGCACGAGCCCGAATCTCCTCTTCCTCGTTCTTCGATGCCCTGGCTCTGGATTTTTCTCCCATTTCCTTGAATTTTCTTCTTTTTCCAATCGCCAGTGTTCGCCGCACTGGCGCAATACGCCATCTTGCACACATTGTCAGTAGTTCATCTTACGCGCCAAATTTGAAAGTCACTTGACTCGCGCACTTCACTCACAACAAGAGTCCCCCCTTTGAAAAGTTTCTTTTGCGAAGAAAATAAACTGCAGTTCAGTGCGCGAGAAGTCACCACGCGTCGTCCATTCACAAGATGTCCTTAACAAACAAACAACTTGAAGTAGTCGCTTGTCTCGAGAAAATGTAAAAATTCACAACCGGCTCATATAATCTGCGCCGACATTTTCAGAGCCTCTAATGTGCTCGACTCGGAATGAATATTCTTGTAACGCGAGGCTCCACCGTAATACCCTACTGTTCAGGTGTTTTGCCCTTAAGAGATACTGCAGTGGTTGGTGATCGGTCTGTACGACAAATGACGTTCCGTACAGAAAACATGATACTTTTCTATCGCCCAGACCAACGCTAAGCATTCCCTCTCGATTGCTGAGTATCTCTTTTCGCGAGGCTGAAGTTGACGACTGGCATATGACACAGGGTGGAGGATGCCATCATGCTCTTGCATAAGGATAGCGCCTATACAAGAATCAGAGGCGTCAGACCGAAGCACGAATTCTCTTTTCAGATCGGGTGCTTTGACGATTGGCCCAGAAGACAAAGCCTTTTTGAGTGATTCAAACGCTTCTTCTCTATCCGTGGTCCACGTAATCTTGTTTTTCTCCATCTTCCTCGTCATCTCAGTGAGCGGCTGTGCTTTCTCGGCGTACCGAGGTATCAGGTCACGGTAATAGCCAGCCAGTCCAAGGAATGACCGGAGTTGCTTCTTTGTTTCAGGCTTAGAAGCACAGGTGATCTTCTGTATCGTGCTTTCGACTGGCCGTATGTTGCCATCTCCCAATCGATGTCCCAAAAAGGTGACTGTGCTCATAGCCACTTCACATTTCTGTGGCTTGATCCTTAGTCCGGCTTGTCGTATCCTGGCAAAAAATTGCTTCAAAGTTGTTAGATGTTCTTCCCACGTAGTGGTAGCCACCAGTACGTCGTCTATGTAATGAACGACGTTGGGTATTCCAAGCAATAACTTTCTCATCAGACGAGTGAAGACCGCGGATGCGGTCTTGATGCCAAAAGGCATATACAGGAAATGATAATGCCCTGATTGGCTTGAAAAGGCGGTCTTTTGCTGCGAGTCTTTTGCGAGAGGAACCTGCCAATATCCTTTAGTTAAATCAAACTTCGAGAACCATTTCTTTGTTCCCACTTCGGCAAACAAGTGATCAGTTCTGGGTATAGGTTCTGCATCAGATACCAGAACATTGTTTATACGGCGAAAGTCTATACAGGCCCTGTAGCCATTGTCTGGCTTTTTGACTAGTACCAAAGGAGAATTATATGGTGACTCTGAGGGTTCTATAATGCCAAGTTGCAACATGTCTTGCACTTCCTTTTCAACGACTTCCTTCATAGAGAATGGCAATGGGTATTGTGGGGTGTTAACTGGTTCTGAACTGGTCGTTTGTAACCGACACTCCACAAGGTTTGTTTTACCTGGGATCTCCGAGAATACGTCTTCGTAGGTACTTAAGATGTCCCGTATCTCCACCCGCTGTCGCTCCCCGATTTCATCTCCAAGCTTTATGGAGTCAATACCGCAGCTACCCTGTACTTTGAAAGTTGGTAGTGGTTTCTCAGACTCCTCTTCCTCCAGAACGACAAAAGATGATGTCTGAGGAAGCTGTTCTTCACGGCGTTCTTCATACTTTTTCAGCATGTTTATGTGGAAAAGTTTTTTGCTGTGTCCAAGGTCCAGCCAGTAGTCATAGTCGTTTTTCTTTTCTACGACTGGAAACGGCCCTTTCCAATGCATCAATAACTTGTTGTTGCTTGTGGGAAGCAAGATCAATGCACGGTCACCAGCTTTCAGGTCCCGTTGCTTGCTGTGGCGGTCGTAATACCTTTTCTGCGACACCTGTGCTCGGCTCAGGTTTTGTCGTACCAGCTCTAGTGTCTTCTCAATTCGCTCTCTTAAATCCAGGACATATCCGTACGTCGTCTTAAGTTCTTCGTTCTCCTGATCATGAGTCCATAGCTCTTTCAGGATGCTCAGAGGTCCTCGAATATGTCGGCCATAAATAAGTTCAAATGGTGAGAACCCGGAGCTTGCTTGTGGGGCTTCACGATAAGCAAACAAAAGAGGTGCTAGCAAGCGATCCCAACATTTAGGCTGTTCTTGAACCATTTTGCGGAGCATTTGCTTGAGTGTTCCATTAAACCTCTCTACCATCCCGTTGCACATAGGATGGTATGGAGTGCAGCTAAGATGCTTGACTGCCAGTAGTTCATTCACCTCCTTCATTAGATCTGAGGTAAAGCACGATGCCTGATCAGCCAAGACTTCTCGTGGAAAACCAATGCGAGAAAACATCTCGACAAGTCCCTCGGCCACTGTAGCTGAGTCAATTGCTGTCAAAGGCACTGCATCAGGGTAGCGAGTGGCGAAATCCACAAGAGTCAAAATATACCGATGGCCTTTTGCCGAGGCTGGAGTTATCGGTCCAATGATGTCGACCGCCACACGTTCAAAAGGGGTGTCGATCAACGGCATACGCCCTAGAGGCACCTTGCCCACCTTGCCTTTCGGTAAAGTCCTTTGACAGGCGTCACATGATCGGACATATCTGCGGATATCTTCTTGTACCCCGGGCCAGTAGAAGGCGTCCAGAACTCGATCTATTGTTTTTTTGACACCCTGATGACCTGACATGACATTTTCATGAGCCAAACGTAACACTTGGCCTCTCAGGGACTTCGGGACTATGGCTTGTTCGATGATCTTACCAGGGGACAGGAAGTATTGTCGGTAAAGAATACCATTCTTGGCTACGAAAGAAAAAGATGTCGAGCCCTTTCTAACAAACTTCTTACCCACTCTGGCTCTGCAGATGTCAAGCGTCTGGTCTTTTTCTTGTTCTTCGCGAAACATTTTGCGAGACATCTGGCCAGGGAGCCCAACAGAGATGGCCCTTCGCGAACTATTGAGACGTGCGGCACCAACCAGTTGAGAATTTGGGTGGTTACCTTCGTCCGCAGAATGAACTTTTTTCTTAATGAATTGATCTTGAGAAAGTTTCCGCGAAACGTCGGGGTCATTGGCGTCACGGGCCCCCGGTACGTTCCCAACTATGACGTCATACAGTGGCGACGGCATACACTTGACGATGGCCATGCCGGAAAAGTATGGAGATCTGATACGTATCTCCGCCTCAGGGGTTACGATGGTGCTGCCATCAGCCAACCACAACGTCGCGGTAGTGCCAGTTAGTGCTTCATCAGGTACTAATGACCGGCGTACTACCAACGTGTTGCTTCCGGTGTCCCTTAGGACTCGAACAATTTGTCCATTCACTTCCCCTGGTAACACTGGCATGGGACGTTTCTTACATTGCGCTTGCGTCCTCACCGTGCCCATAACATTGTCGTCTCGGTCCGAGTCGTCGCCATCAATCATGGATTGTTGTGGACCGGTCTCTTCTTTGGGTAGCATTAAACAAGATGTAGTTGATTTCGAGGTGCCAGTCATTTTCTGACAGCCCTTCACATCATGCCCCCACTTACGGCAGTTTGTACAAAATACTTGTTTAGGTTTACTTCGACAGTCAGAAGCCTTGTGCCCCTTACGGCCACAAACAAAACATTGCATCTCTGCTCTTGGGCTTGAAATCAATTTAGCCTTCCCAGTTGTGTCCTCACTCTTATTCTGAACTATTAATAAGTTCTTCAATCTCTTTGCCTCTATATATATATCAGCTACCTCTGCCATGGCTTCCAGAGTCTTGCAGTTCTTCTCCCGTAAGAAGAGCGCCAGCTGACTACTGCAGTTCGCCATGAATTGTTCGGCTACAATCAAGTCACGGACTGAATCGAAATTCCTCTCTGTCTGAGACATTTCTATCCACCTGTCAAAGAAACTTTGGAGTCTCGTGGCATACTGTTTTCCAGTTTCGCCGTCTTCAGGCTTGCTTTTCCGGAATTTCTCACGGTAGCCATCAGCCGTGAAGCGAAAACGCTGGAGCAGTGCCAATTTGACTTCGTCGTATGACAGGGAATCGTTCGGTGACAACCGTCCAAATACCTTCAGAGCCTCTCCGCCAAGGCACAAACTAAGAGCCGTGGCCCACTTTTCCCGTGGCCAATCTTGACCTGTCGCCACTCTCTCAAACCTTTTCAGGTAGGCGTCAAGGTCGTCTCTGTCCTCGTTGAAAACGGGTATAAAGTTATGCGGGTTCACTACCATAGGCGCGTTCCTTTGGTTGCCCGTGTCAGCCACCGTAGGCTGACCGACACCGGCCTCAGCTACTCTCAGGCGCAGTTGCAGCGTCCTCTCTTCTACTTCCAAGAGTCGCTGGCTTGCTTCTCGGGCTTGGTTCTCCGTTTTTGCTACTTCAAGACGTAGCTGTAAATTGCGGCCTTCCAGCTCCAACTGTTCTTTCTTCGCGTCTCTCTCCGCGGCTCGTTCATCGCGCTCACGCGCTTCTCGTGCGTCAAACCAAGCCTGCAATTCTGCTCCCTCCAACCCCATGCGTTCTGCCAGCGCCATCAACTCTCGCGAGCCCATTTTACTTTTTTAGTTAGCCTTACTCAAATCTACTTTTTAGTGGCAAACACTCACGTCCTGTCGCGGACGCCAATTTGTGACAGGTTCAGTAAATAAAGCCAGTCGAGCTAGCTGTGAAACGTTACTCTCTCACGAGAAAAGGAAGTGAGCGTTTGATTTGCAAAAAAAATTGTACTTTCACAAACACACAAAAAACACAAAAAGGAAAATACTAAGATTAGAAAAATGTTAACTAATTAGCACTGTCAGCTTCGTTAGCGAGCGGAAACCTCTAAGAGTCTAAACAGTCCTTTTCGTTAATGTCCTCGTGTTTGAGTCCGGACGCGAAAGAAGACGGATACGGCTCACCAGCGGTTCACGCCCTTCAATAGTCCATTGGGGAAGTTGCCGTGGTGAGAGTACATAAGCTCGGGCCCGTAGCCCGACGGCTTGCTCCCGCTCCCGGTAGACGTCATCTGCTGCGCTGTCTTCCGCTCGAACATCAGACCAAGGTCTTGCCAAGGATTCGCCAATAGCCGCTGCGGTTGAATGGTCACCAGGACCCCGTGGAAACAGTCGCCAGCTAGGTGGATGCCCTGACGCCCCGGAGGTACTCGCACCCGACGAGGTCGCACGCCGCACCCTAGCCTTCTTTTTTTTAAGCACGAGCCCGAATCTCCTCTTCCTCGTTCTTCGATGCCCTGGCTCTGGATTTTTCTCCCATTTCCTTGAATTTTCTTCTTTTTCCAATCGCCAGTGTTCGCCGCACTGGCGCAATACGCCATCTTGCACACATTGTCAGTAGTTCATCTTACGCGCCAAATTTGAAAGTCACTTGACTCGCGCACTTCACTCACAACAATGACCGAATTTTTAAAACTTTGTAGACCTGAGACACTGTGAAGTTTGAGGATTTCTTGCCTAATATTTGTAGCAAGAACAGATTGTGTGGCATTGTGCATGAAATATGACAGTGCAGGTAAACTGCTTTGAAGGTATTGCAATCCATCTCTGATGTTGTTTTGGTTGCGAAAGTCGGCTTCTGGCAGAGTTGCCATATGCTACCGAGCTAACAAGCAAATAATCATCTCAAAAGAAGTGAAAATAAAATGAAATTATTAACTTTTTATTTTTTAAAATATTTATTATATAAAGAGATGTCACTCAAATATGAAGGAGCGCTTAAAAACACTTTATTTATTTTGTACATTGAAAATATGCGCTACTATGAATGAAAGCTCATATTTTCTTCTTAAACCTTGTCTCCATTTGGTTGAATGCACATATGCGTGTGCAAGATTAGCGTTACTTGTTGATTGCCACTATGTATGTTTGGCTTCAGTGCTGAACTGCACAACATTATTGACAAATGCGCTATTAGTGAACGACAACAGCGCTATTGGTGCACGTGATGATTTCCAAAACAACTATGTTCGCTGGAAAAAGGCATATAAACTCAAACAGTGGGACAAGCAACTGGAAAGCTTCCTGGAAACTCCGCGAAAAAAGAAGCCCGAATCCGCTTACTATAAGTGGAGCTGGCAACTCTGGTTTCTGGTAATGCTGTTCTTTTATAGTGTGGTAATCTCATTTTAGGCAGTTTTGTAGATCATTCTCAGAATGATTTGGCTCTGGCATTGCTGGCCTGTAGCTGCTGTCATGGTAATATGTGTCTTGGCTTTCTTCAGATGCGGAACCGAGGTCAGCGAGTGCGTCTTGTTCCATCATTGGATGGCTCCCTGTACAAATTCGATGGCGATACAGTGGAACCACTGCCTATGTCCGCAGACTTTTTGCTGAAGAGCTCGTATCGTTTAGGTGATGATCTTGTGATCACAGGTGGCAAGGAGGCTCGCACTTATGGAATCAATGTTCACACTGGCCAGGTATGGTGGCTTGCTTATTTATTCAATTATTTTGCTTGTATACCATTGCTAACTTTGCAAAATTTTTCTTGCTCAGATACAGGATACTTCATAAGTGATGACTTTGTGATAAAAAAGAGGCACTCATCACGTGCATTTTTGCGTCTCTTTCACAGAGTTTGGTCTTACTTTCTTTTGCCTTGGAAAGCTCAAATTTTATTATATTGCATGCAGCTACAGTGCTTCATGGAAGCATGCAGTTTTAGCATATTTTCGGGTTATTTATAGGATGCCTGAAATGGTATACTGAATTTGCGGTCGCGTTTATGTTATAGCATTATGAAATCATTCACACGATAAAATTGAGCAGCATACCTTGTATGAGGGCGGCTGCAGGCATATGGTCTTTACCCTCCTCCTCAGATCTGCTTTTTATTTTTTTTATAGTCCTTCCAGCGCCTCCTCTATTTTATCAATGCCAATCAGATGTGCCCGATCGAGCTGTTCACCCTCTCCTCTAGCCATTTCCTGCTCTCGCCCAACGCCTAGACTTCACGGGTGCATTGCAGTCGTGGGGGAGAGAGATCATCATGTAGTGCCTCACGACGTAAATCATATAAAGTAATTTTTTATTCAGTTGCATACAGATTCGCAGGGTGGCGCCTTGCATTCCTCGTGTTCATTATATTGGCTGTCACGCTGGCTCTGTAAAAGATAGGTGTTTTGAGATAGTGTGCCGTCGTTCTAGGCGCTATGTGGGCAACCGATGGAGAAGCATTACTGGAACACAACTGGATGCGCCGAATCGGAGAGCGCTGTGATGCAACGGCGGCGTCGCTTCGAGCCACAAAGAAGGAGCTCGAAAGTACAAATCTGACAGACGTGTGATATTGGAGTGAGAAACAGGTCTGTCACATCTCCGGGGAAAAGCGTTTGGAAACATGTGTGATGCTAGCAGCGCGACCCTTCAAACAGTGCCCCTCAAATAGCGATCCCTCAAATAGCACCCGTTGAGAAGCTTGCATTTGCACTAGCATTGAAAGAAATAGAGGAGGTATTGGTCCTACTTTTGGTGCACATTTCTGGTGAACAATAAAGGGCATAATAGTCATCCCTGTGTTTGTCGTATAAAGCCACAAGAAGGTCCCCATGGATTCCCTTGTAGCTTTTTGACAACATGGTCACCACTGCATGATCTACTCATGTTTGTTTGCCATGCCCAAATTTGGTGAGTGCCCCTTTGAGGTGTAACATTCTTGATAGCTTACCACTCATTGTGTTCACAGTTGTATTTAGTGCGATTGGAAGTGGTCACATTCAAACAGACTATCTGATATGTGTGCCTCAGCTAGTGCCCAGATCTATTGTTTCTTAGTTGGGGCATGAGAATTACTATTGTGGTTTCTGTGAATCTACAGCTATCATGCAATTTTAATAATTTTTTGTTTTTGTTCTGCTAATTATCATTATTAGTCACAACTAACAGACAATAATACTAAGGAATGTATAGGGGATGTTTTAATAGTAATAAATATAATGCCAAGGAAAGTATAAGGGGTGCTTTATTAGTAGTAAATGTAATGTAATATTGAAGAAAAAAAGTTGGCGAAAAGATAACTGGGCTAGGACCAAACCTGCGACCTTTGAATAATGTGTCGGATGCTCTAGCAACTGAGCCACCGTGGCAGCCATCCCTCTTTTTACTTTATGGGGTACGTATGAACATTTAAACGTGCCAGTGGCAGTCAGCGCTGCAAGTAGCAATGACAGTGATTGTGGAACACTCTCTTTCAGCCTGTTGTTGTCACATAGCACGTGATCTCAAACCCTTGTAACATGGCAAATCTAATGTCATTTACAGCGAATGTCATCTGTTTGCTGCCACATGGGGAAAGTAATGTCATTAGATGAAAATGACATTTCCTGTTGAGTGAGTTCACAGAGCACATTCGCAAGCAATTTCGAACTAAATGCGTAGTCTCGATGCCAGGCACCTTTCAGGGAGATGGCTGTTAACCTACGTATTTGTAAGTTTTGTAATTCATAAATATTATATTTATTACTGTGTTAACTTAGTAGTGATATGATGACGTAACAGCACGTGCGATAGTGTCTAAAAGAAAAGCTACTCTCAACCACAGCGGCTGTAGCTGGCCATGTTTCATTTGTGCTCTGTAGTCGTTTTGTCATCGTGTCCTGTATTACGGATATTGATCATCTGATTGCTCCTGTTGGGGTGATCGAGGCGGTGACTACATAAAATTGCTGTTGCTCTTTCATATCTAAAGCCGGGGAGGAGTCGGTTGGGCTCCCATGCTTCAGTTCCGGTCATATCGTCGGCCATGTTGGTTTTTGACTGGCTCTTGGTCTGACTTCGTTTTTGTCAAGCAGCTAGGGCAAGTTGTGTTGAATGGCTGCATTTATGTTCTAGCACCTTTTTAGCAAGAAAAAATATTTTTGAGGCTACGCACCTGCACTAGCAAGTTTTTTATAATAGATCTTGATTTCTTTTAATGTCACGACTCAAGAGTGCTAAGGTCAGGGTCAATAATTTAAAGTTACATTTGTTTTCGTCGTGTGACAGGTAAAATGATATTATGTTCACCTAATGTAATTTGTTGCAAATGACTATAAATATGCCATGTAACATGGGTATTATTATGACCTAACAGTTGACCAATAATCCCTCTCATACTATCTGAAAGCATCAAGTCTGTCAGAACGAGACTCTCACTATGAGTGAAGGAAAAAAGAGGAAATGTTAAGGGCTTGTTTGCTTCATTATACACAATATTAATGACAACTAACAGACAGTAATGCCAAGGAAAATATACGGAATGTTATTAGTAGTCAATGTAATGTTAATCTGAAAGAAAGAAAATTGGACAAAAAGATAATTGCCGTGGGTTCATTTTGCTCATGTGGCACTGTATTCGTGTGCAAGTTTAGTTGGCAATGAAGGGAAAGGTGCGGTGGCGAAGCCGCACATGTACTCGTCTACAAAGTAGTCCGGTACGGCTCGCGTTTTGAACGACGGCTATGTTCGAATAATAACATTCTATACTATTTGCTTTGTTTCCTTAGACAGTCATTTGTGAGTGAAAAAATATATCGCAAGCTCCTTCGGCGAGTCGACAAAATAGCTGGAGGGCGAAGAGTGCTCACAAAAAGGTTTAGACACCATTTCGATCGTGACGTACGTACATGTGAAATGTGTTACGTTTTCATACGTGCAAAAAATGTGAAATGGCACTGCATAAATCGAAACCAATATGAATATCTCCTTGGTGCATACTGCGTCTGTTTATAAACAGCGTTCCGTAGAAAATAATGTTTTTTATTGTTTTCACGGGAAAATCACGGATGCTAATTGGGACTACACTCAAACCTTGTTATAATGAAGTTAAAGGGGAGCCACAAATATTTAATTATTTCATTATATCCTTTATTTCGTTAATTGATTATAACAGTTTGTGGCAATGTGTGCTCAGATGGGCGCACACCTATAAGCATGCAAAGAAGGAAACCGCCTCGCGGCCCGGTGTACCGCTACGCGACCACGCGTGTGACGGAAAATAAACACAGTTGAATCTCATCAATTCAAACACGCTTAATTCGAACTTCCAGTTAATTCAAACTCGCGCTGTGGTCCCGTCAAAGCTATGTGTATATTACTGGGCGAGAGTGCCCTATAATTCAAATGCGCAAGCACTTGGGACTGTTAATTCGATTATACCGCGCTTCGAAAATGCTGTCAGCACCATGCCCAATCCCGCGGTGGCACCTCTCAACGCTGCGCGCGAAGAAGGAAAAAAAGAAAAGGAAAGAAAAGACTGTGGTGGATTGTTTGCTCTCTCAAATGCCGATCTGCAAGGCGTCTGTGCCACACTTCTCCCTTTTCTGTCCCTGCACGTAAGAGACCCTTCTTCTTTCAAGGCCGTGTGCGAACAGAGAGGAAGAAAAAAAAAGAAAGAAAGCTGTAGCAAAGAGCTGGCTCTCTCTCTCTAATGTCGTTCTGTTTCTCTCCGCGTGGAGATGCTCCTCCTTTCTCGGTGCAGAGGATAGCAGCATAGACGCAGTCATCGTCGTCGTCTTTAGTGAGTGTTGGCGCTGGACTTGGCCACGTGCTACTATGCTTTGCAAACTGCGTATGAAATTTATTGACTCGCTGCAAGGCAAATGTGTGCAGATGCACATCACCGGTTACTTCAAATAATGACGGATATCCTCTGATTTGTGAACAAATGTAAGTCCTCTGAAGCTTCCCCATCGTGTGTTTTCAAGTGAAAGGAAAATTGCTTTGCGCCGCGGCGCCGCTTCTCGGTCATATGACCCACTGAGCACTTCCTCAATCCTCTGTGCTGGCTGTGTGAGGAGGACGGCTCTGTCGGCCCCGCGTGGCGTGGCTATAAGGTCCGCGCGTGAGTTCTGCTAGAGCTGCGCCGAGTGAGCATTAAACTTCGCAGAAAACGTTATACTTTACACACTACAGTCGTTTTTTTTTTCTGATAGACTATTTGATAGACAAATTTAATTCGTTATACCCGTTTACCAGTTAATTTTACTTTTTTACAATGAGGTTTAAAATGCATGGTTCTCAATGGAGCTTTTAAGGGGAATTTTATTTATTTCGTTATATGTTACGTTATAACGAGGTTTGAGTGTCTGTTCTTCAGTGGCGGTACAAGTGCAGTTTGGCTCCATAACATTCCCTTTATTGCAATAAAAGTTGTCCGCGACCATAATGGCATGCACTCCTTGTCACATCATGCAAGGCATCTCTAATATCTTTACCGTAACAGCACTACATCAATATGCATTCTTATACATTGCTGTGGTATTTGCGTACAGGTGCGGTACATCTGCACCATGAGCGGCTGTGACAACACCAAGGAAGACTTCAGCACAGAGGATGTCCTAGTAGTGAAGCGCAACACTCAAACTGTCAGGGCTGTTGAGCCGCACTCTGGGCGAGAAAAGTGGGTTGGATTTGTTGCTTTTCTCATTTCTTTTCTTTCTTTCGTTTCTTTTCCACTTCTCTATATGGCATGGAATGTGCAGCTGATCACTGTGATTATGTGTAACCCTCTGTGCCCGGTACATTGAACGTTTTCTCGCAGTAATACATAGGACCTGTTGTCATAGGCTGCAATGGTAGAACTCCTTTCCACTGAAGAAGTGAAGGAAAGCAAATGGAAAGATATTTGCATGTAGAATTCCTAAGCATATTTTTATGATATAGCAACATGAAAGTGTTTCTTTTGGCTAGGTGGATCAAGTACTGGTGAGTGGTGTTTCATAGCTGTCTTAACGAAAACGAGGCAATTCAACCAAAGTGTTGCCAACAACACTTTACATGTGAGAGGCAAAGATGCTATTTTTTCACCTTCTTCTCGTCTTCCAACTTCTGTGGAAGCTCAACGGATGTGGTGGAGAAGGATGTGCTTTCTCTCAAGTCTGCAGTTTCAAATCTGCTTCGTATACATTAACATATAAGAACATCTGAAATTTTGGATGTTAAAAATCTGGTGTAGATTTTTTTAACTTCCTATCCATATTTCAAGTCCAAAATGCCATTAATTGAGCCACCACTTCTGCCACATCTATCATCATGTTGGAACTAGTGTTTTCATGAGTGAATACATTTGCAACCGTAAAGGTATGAACAACCTGGCAGCGCGGCATTGACCTACACTCAACTCACCGCTCGCGAGATGCCACTTTCCTCTGTTTCTCCCGCGTAGTGTCGGTGAATTTCGGCTGCTGGCCATATGGCTCTTCACACTATTTTTGCCGCTGGAGATGGCTGCCGCTCAAGCAAACCACCAATCAACGCCTGATTTTCCCCTCTTCCTATTCGCATATGGGTGTCACCTCCTCATCTGCGCCACGTATTTCTATCTGTCGGAGAGAAGCAGTGAGTCGGTAGGTGCGCCCCTTGACATGTTCACTCTTGCGCTGCCGACAATGTGGACAGCGTGCTTCTGGTTATCGTGCTGAGGCGCCGATGGGCCTGAAAGTAGCTTTACAGAGCCTGAAAGTAGCTTTATCGCAATACGAGACTGTAGTGGGGGGAAGAATATTGAAAATTCGAAGGGACCATTGCTACTCAGATGTCGATTATATTTGTCTTCGGGAAGTTTCAATAATAAAAATTTAAGTGATTTATATTCGACTGTTCGAATATCTGCGCAGCCCTACCTTTCTTTAGTATTTAGCAGATCTTGAAGCTGGAAACATTTGTGATTATAAATATTTTGCTTTCTTATTGCACAAAATCCCATTTATAGAACCTTTAAATGCTTCTCAAAGATGGACTATTGGGCAAGTTCATTAGTCATTTTAAATGATGGTGCATGAAACAGACAGTAGCGTACACACACATACAAAAAAGAGGCATGAATGCAATATAAACAGTTTGTGTTGTGTTCATGTTTCGTCTTTCTTTTGCTACTAACCCTTTCTTGCATTCCTGCTTGACATTTCAGATGCATCTTATTTTCACTGCTTAGCAAGCGAAAGGCTGCTTTCAGTCGCCTTTGAGATTGTAACAGCCATTTGCGCTATCAGATACTTTGACTCAAATCACTGGGTAACTGTGTGGCCAGTGCTGATCCCTTTTAAACTTTATTATAATTATGTGAATGTTTATAGCCATTGTATGTGTTCAAGAAATGTCTGTCAGTGAAAACCTAATACAGTAGGTTCTCTGTAGATGGAATTTTTGCCTGAATGGAACAACTGCCTCTAATACTATTGGTTGATACTCAAATTCTACACCACTGTTCATCTTTTGCCTAATGGAACTCCTGCTATACAGAGTATATTTTACTGGCCCCTCCAGTTTCTATTTAATGAGAGTCTACTCTATGGCATCTTGTACAGCTTCTTTAAAGTACCTTTCATGTTTCCGTTCTTGTCACTCAGCAGTGTAACACTATGCTGCTGACATTCGCGGTGTGATGTTTGTGAAATCTTACTTATTTTTATTGCGATAGCAATTAGATGGACACTCTTGGCTGGATTTTGCCGTCGGCGTCGCCGTCACTCAACGTATGTGTATACGTATCTATATATTTGAAAATGCAAGAAAGAATACAAAACCCAGAAAAAGACTCAGGCGTGCGGAATCGAACTTTGGTGCACTGAATCGTGAGTGCGAAGCGTTATCCACTGCGCCTCCGAGGAGCACGTCCTCTAACGTTCAAACGGCAAGCTATTTATATCTGCCACTTGCTGCTGGTGATGGGCATGTCGGGGGGGGGGGGGGGGGGGGGAGGGACGACACTATTGTGTTTTCAGCCTTATCAGCAAGATGGTGCAATGAGCGCGCGGCTGCGCGCATCTCGGGGGGTGGGGGGAACTATTGCGTTTTCAGCATTACCAGCAAGATGGCACAATGAGCGTGCAGTGGCGCGCGGCCTCAACTTCTACGTGTAATTTGCTGCTCAGAGTGGAGAAGGTGGGCGCTCGCGCACCCTTATCTCGTGGTGGGGACGATCACACGTCTTGGCTGGCGTTGGGCTTTCACTAGAACATTTATGTTGTAGTTACTGGGTGCACAAAGGTCGCTGCAATCATTGTAGTCTCCATTTATAAAAAGCGTCTGCTTTTCAGACACAGTGAAGTAACAACTGAGACGCTTATTTGCGTGCATGTATACCTGTCGGTACATTTCGTGCGTCATTGTGCGTGATAAACGCGGGGCACGTTTCGATCTGCTTTCCACTCTAAGCATGACCTTCCGATTTGTTGCTATCGCATTCATTGCTTCGCCTTTGCGGCAAAGCTGTGACTTTTAAAAAAAATTTTTTGTCAGGTGGAACTTCAGTGTTGGTGAGAACCAGCTTACCGTGTTAAAGGGCTTAATGGCCAGTTGCAGTGGAAGCAGCAGCAGTGACAGTAGCGACACAGACTCCTATGTGGTGGAAGAGCCATCAAATTGCTCCAGTGGGGAAAGCTGCTCTAAAGAAAGCCTTATTCAAGTGGTGGTGCCAGAGGGCCTAGTTGCTTCCACTAGTAAAAGCAAGGGATCACTGGAATGGTCAGTCAAGGTGGGCAAGCTTCTTTAATCCACAGACTTGAAAAGGTGGCAATTCTCTGCTATTTTTTTGTTTTTTAAAATATTAAGATGTTGATTTGATTTCTTTTTCTTCTAGCTTCCTAGCCCAGTTGTTGGAGCATGGCATCTACGAAACGGAGAGTTGGAAGTAGTTGACCTTTTTGAGCATAGTCGCATCCTTGGCTTGGACGGCCCTAACCAAAGCAAACAAAACAACCCTGTACTTTATCTTGGTAAGTAACGTGGGACACTGATTTGCAATATTGAACCACCTGCAATATTACATTACAATATTACACTGTTAAACACAAGGTTGCAAGTAATAATTCCTAATCACGGGGGCAGAATTTTGATTAGAGCAAAGTGCAAAAACACTTGTGTGCTTAGATGCATTAAATGCATGAGTGAAGTTTTATTTAGGTGTGCATTAAAGACTCGACTGGTCAAAATTAATGTAGAGTCCCTAGCTATTGGCATACCTTATAATCATATTGTGGTGTTAGTGTCACAATGCAGAAACAGCAGCAGTCGAATACAGGAAACTCACTTTAATTGTACCAGAACACTGGCAAACTGATCAGAAGAGAACCGCATCTTCTCCTCTCACTGCGCGTGTTCTTCGTTGTTCTCTTGGTGCTGCATATTCAATGTGGCATTTGCCCCCCTCCAGAGAGCAGCGTCCCGATGCTCTTCTACAAAACACGTAGTAGATGTATGGTGTAAATCGGTCCGAAAAGTAGGGCTTCATTCGCACAACTTGCACGATTTCTGATTTTTGCTGGCGAGTTGTCGAGGGGCTGTCAGGAACGACCATGTAATTAACGTCGCTCAGGCGTTGTAAAACTGTGTAGGGGCCAAAATACTTCTTCAGCAATTTTTCAGACAGTCCCCGGCGGTGGATAGGACTCCATACCCAGACTTTGTCGCCAGCCCGATAGACGACATGTCGGTGTCGAATATTATAACGTTGGGCGTCGTAATTTTGCTGCTGGGTGATTCGGACGCGCGCAAGCTGCCTCGCTTCTTTTGCTCGTTGGGTAAAAGATACAGCGTCCAAATCGATGTCATTGCAGTCGTGCAGTAACATGGCGTCAAGCATCGTCGTCACTTCACGGCCATGAAGAAGACTGAACGGCGTTCTTCATGTAGTTTCTTGCTGCACTGTATTATAGGCGAACGTGATGTACGGTAGAATGTCGTCCCAGTCCTTGTGATCCACGTCAACGTACATACTCAACATGTCGGCAATAGTCTTGTTGAGGCGTTCTGTCAAGCCGTTGGTTTGTGGATGATAGGAAGTGGTTTTCCGATGGGCTGTTCCACTGAGCTCAAGCACTGTCTTCAGGAGCGCGGCCGTGAAAGTGGCACCTCGATCCGTTATTACGATTGTTGGAGCACCGTGCCTCAGGACGATATTTTCTACGAAGAATCGTGCGGTTTCAACGGCGGTGCCACTTGACAAAGCCTTTGTTTCCGCGTAGCGCGTAAGATAATCAGTGGCGACTATTACCCACTTGTTGCCAGCATGGGAAGTCGGATGTGGTCCAAGGAGATCCATTCCAATTTGGGCAAAAGGTACCATGGGCACTTGAATTGGTTGTATTAGTGCAGCTGGTTTTAACGGTGGCGATTTTCATTGTTGGCAATCGAGGCACGTGCGCACGTAATGCTTCACAATAGCTGGAAGTCTTGGCCAGTAGTATTTCTGTTGGATTCTGGCCAATGTGCTTGTGTATCCGAGATGACCAGACGTTGGCTCATCGTGGCAAGCACAACGTATGTCCTCACGGAGTGACGTCAGAACGACAAGTAGGTGGGTGCTTCTTCTTGGAGAAAAGTTCTTCTTGTAGAGAACACCACTACGTAAGCAGTATGACGGCAGGCTCCTTGCAAATCTTTTAGGGACGGTTGTTGTCCGGCCATTCAAAAATTCAATAAGGGGAAGCAACTCACTGTCTTCTTTATGCTTGCACGAATTCGTAGTGGTGTCAACGACTCCTACAAACGCCATGCTGTCATCTTCTGTGTCATCGTCGTGCTTTATCGGTGACCTTGATAAGCAAGTTCACACTTCTGAAAATATGTTATAAAGGTTTATTCCGAACACTGTATCTATTGCAAGACTGTTTTTCATTTACTTCATTATGGCCGGTATTTCGTTATATCCAGGTTTGTTATATCGAAGTTTGAGTGTATATTACAATTACTTCTATTAAGATCCCCTATAATTTCTTTGGCATCGTTTTCTGTTCTCAATAATATTGTGTATAACACAGAAAACGAGCCTTTTTAAGTTAACACTTTTTTTCCTCCAGTCAGAGTCCATAGTTATTCATTTTGCAAGGTGCCGGTGTTGCATGTGATGGTAGATATTGGTATGGGATAACACTTTCCATGATTTTAGTAAGCCGTTTGGCAGCAGCTACACTTGGCAGCAATTCGTAACACTCTTGTGTCCCAAATTGCTGCTGCCATGCGCAATTGTCTGCAAGCAGCGGCACACAATATATATTCACACTGCTGGTGTTCTCCAGATTTTTCCTAGTAGCATACTGTTGCACAGGTATGCATGAGAGGCAGCTGTACGTGCAACATAGTGGCAACATACGCTCTGAAGTTTCCGGAGGATACTCGCAGCTGATTGATCCTCACCGGAGCAACTTGCCTCAAGTTGAATGGAAGCCCTATCTCGCCTCAGGTATGAAACATATAAAAATATACTGCAGGGCCTAGACCCTGCGGGAGGCCTTTCGAATTGTTTCTTCGTAAAACTTAAATGACACTACATTTGTACTTCAGAGCTAATTCAAGAAAATGCGGGAACTGTTCCTGTTCCTTTAGTAATTTTACTATTGAACTGCTTGCGAATTTGTGAGTGGTGCAAAATTAACTGCTTTTGTGATGTGTCTTGGGAGGAAAACTTGCCAGTTCGCATAGTAAATACAACTTTCTAGAGGAACAATGCATATGCAAGGGCTTGATTTTGGAAGCAGGGGCAGAAATACATGATACTTCCACAGATACTAATAAAGCAAATAATTAAACTGAGATATTGCTATTGTGTATATATCTATATATCTGTTATTGTTTATTTATGAAACTGTGCTAACATGATGCTCAAGGTCCAGATGCTTTCCATGCATTTGCATGATTTTCATATCTTTTAGGCGAATTCAAAATGCTGCATGCTCAGTACCTCCTGGTAGTATGGGCATTATGAGCACGATGTGCCATTCTTGACAAGAATGCACCAATGCAGTGTTTTCAAGGGAGGAATTGCAGACAAGACAGATGAATACTGTATTGTTGTTGTCGGGCAAGATTGCTTCAAAGTGGGCGACATTTACTGTAGCGTGATGATCAACACATCATTGCAAGGCTATAAAAAAAGTGAAATAATTCAGAAGTACGCTGTAGTGGTCTTAAAGAGGCTCTGAGATAAAATTTCATGGCCGAGATAGCCTGTGGGGTCAATTCCCAGGAACGTTCATATATGATCTGCAAAATATCAACAGCAGACATAGCTTGGAAGTTATTTTGAATATAGTTCTGAAGTTAAGCCTGAGCCCTCGAATCCGTTGTGTCATTGACATTCTAGAAGGGGACCCTTAGGAGACCCCCTACTTCCCTCCCGTCACCATATTGCAGTCAATAAAACAAGTTAGGATGACGTCATAGCGGCCATTTTTATTTTGCTGCATTTGTTTCCGCAGTCTATATTTTTTGGCGGCTGGTTGTGAGTGCGTGGCCATGGTGCTCGCTTAAAAGTTTACTATTCGAAGGTAATTTTTGGTGCAGGCTGTGCGGAAGTGTTATAGTTTTGTGTGCTGACGTGGTCAAGAGCTGCGCACGCTAGCTGACCGTAGTTTCACCCAGTTTTTGGAGCTCTCTCAAACCGAAACTGAAACTGATCGATAAAGAGGGGCCTGTAATTAATTATCTTGTGCGTGTTGCAGCAAATGATGTGTCGTGTCATGATTAACAAGCCCCCAGCAACGCATTATAGCAGAAAAACCTGAGGCCAAAGTTTTTGTGTCAGTACCCCCTTTAAATTTGTGTTTTTTCCTAGGTTTCCGTTAACACAGCTACTAATCTGAAAGAGTGTGAGGGAACTCTCATTGACATCACAAGAACTTTATTTAGGTCTTAAGGAACAGATATTTAGGGGAGCCATAGGCCTCCCGCCATATCAAGTTGGTGGCTCCGCCCCGCCCACGATGGGACCGGAAGTCGAAGTTCTGTCGCGATGTCGCGGGCCCTCTGGACGGCCTGGAGTTGTGTATGAAGGCTGCTACTCTTTAGAGATGCATCCTATTGCTCCGTGATGGGAGCCTATTGCTCGCCTGAGGCTTAGTCAAATAGGGGTTGGGGGCTGGAAATTTTTTTCTGGCCAGACGGTAGTGGGAAACAATGAGTTAGTGGGAAACAATTTCATGAAAAGTACACAACAGAGATTTATAAATGCCAACCCCATTTCGAGCATGGCTATTCGCGACAGCGTGGCATGGGAAATTGTGCGCTATCTGGTGAGCCTGCTCGTTATGGTTACATCCGAGTGGGTTAGCTGAGCCGTCTAGATGGGCTGGAAACCACTCGATGTGGTGCCCTCCTTCGCTGCGCTCCTGGGTTCTTTGAAGTGCTTTCACCACAATACTGTTGGCCTGTTCAGACACAAGGGCGTTTGAGAAAGATCTGACTGCCGTACACGAGTCCGAGAAGACAACAGTGGTGGCTTTTGCTCTGTGAAAAGCCAGAGTGATCGCTGCTTCGTCTGCCACATGGGCAATCTTTGTATAAACAGAGGCTGCATTGACCAGCAGGTTGCCTTCCGTGTCCACGGCCAAAATAGCGAACTTATCCCCACAGTGATATCTGGCAGCATCGACAAAGAGAGCCTTTAGTTTGTGCTGATTTATCTTTTTAAGTATGGCCTTGGCTCTCGTGACTCTTCTATTCTCGTTATGCACTGGGTGGATATTATGGGGGATGGGGTCAACCATGATTCCAGTGCGGATTTCCCTGGACAAGCGAACTTTCGTCACCTGTTGATGGCGAGGCTGAATACCCGCATCTTTAAAATCTTTATCCCTGGCTTAGTGGATGAAAGTCTGGTTATTTAAGCAGCTGTGTGAGCTTCTATTAGCTCGTCGATAGTGTTGTGGAGTCCTACCTGCAATAGCTTCTCGGTGCTGGTGGACTGCGGAAGGCCGAGCATGCGCTTGAGGCCTGTTCTGATTAGAGAATCGAGTTTGGCCTTCTCCGCTTTAGCCTAATTGAGGTAGGGTGCGATGTAAGTAACATGGCTTAGAAAGAATGACTGGTAAGCTCTGATCAAATTGTCCTCTTTTGAGGCCACCTCTGCGATTTGAGATGCGGGCTACAAGTCTTAGTACATTACTAGCCTGCCCCTTGAGCCTGTTGAGCGGCTTTGAGTTACAGCCCCTGGCATCATTGAGAAGACCTAGAATCTTTACGGAATCCCTCCTTGCTATGGGCTGCCCATATTTAGCTCGAATTTCTATCGGCAAAGTTTACAGAGGCGTAAGGTTATAAACCCCTTATCTAGACAGTCGGTATAACAGAAGGTCTGATTTATCAGCGGCGAGTTCAAGGCCTGTGTTTGAAAAAAAGTCTTCCATAGCCTCCAACGCGCTTTCTAAGGAGTGTTCGAGCTCAGCCAGAGAGCCACCCAGTGCTCAGATCTTGATGTCGCTCGTATAAATGGGGTGACTTACGTTCGGGATTGCAGCGAGGTGTGTGGAGAGCCTGTGCATGGCGATATCAAATAAGAGAGGGGAGAGCACAGAACTCTACGGGTTGCGGCAGTTGCCGAGCTCGAAGGGCCCTCCTGAGACCGTGCCTAGCCGAAGATATGTCTTGCGATCCGCGAGAAATTACTTCGTGTAGTCATGAAAACACTGGTCCCGGTTAAGAGAGGAAATCTCGGTGAGGATGTATTTATGCGCCACCCTGTGGAAGGCCTTGTAGAGGTCTAGTGCTTGGATTCCCCTCATGTCGGGAGTCGTGTTATCAAGGATAGCTCTCTTAAGCAGAAGCATAGCGTCCTGTGTGGATAATGCCTCTTGAAAGCCAATTAGGTCGTGTCTAAAGAGCTCCTTGTTTCCTATATGTTCTGTAAGCCTGTTATGTACCGCTTGACCTGCAACTTTGCCAATGCATGATGTAGGGCATATGGGCCTTAGGTTCAACAAATTTTTCTTTGCAGCACCAAGCAGAACACCAATCATCAACACTGGTAATAAAGCAGCACCTCCAATGCTGGAACAATCCAGTTCTTCTAGGAAGGCACTCATGATTAAAGATGACATTTTAGACTACCCTTTTGGTAAGATAATGCTTATCTACTGTTCATTAAATCTACAGTATTTTTGTAGTTTTACTGCTTCCTTGCAATGTATATGCTGGGAATCATTGTCAACAAAGTAGACAAGAACTGTCATTACGCTTTCTGATATGTACTACAGTAAAAGCTTGCTAATTTGAACTTTGTTAATTTGAACTGGTAACCTGGTCCCAGCACAGCCCTCAGTATTTCCATCGGAGAAAAATCCTGATAATTATAATGAATCGGTATCTACAATACTTAATTCAAACTGGGAGCCTTTTGTTTTGATCGTTCCTCACACGAGTCTGCTGAGAGTGATCACAATTAGTTGCAAAACCAAACCAAACCAAACCAAATTTACTAGAGAGGCTAAACACTGAATGAGCAGCATTTCTCAGTAGATGAGAATTTGGATGCTGCCTTAGAGCTATTGAGCAAGTTTCAAACGATGGTCATGGAGCAGCGATAAAAGAAACAAGTAAATAAAAGTTATTGATTACTTATAATTTGATTGCATTAACTCTGCCATTTAAATTGATGTGTTTTGGAGCATAAATGAGGTGATATGTTTCGAATTTAATGTTCGCTGTGCGCATGAATGCATGCTGGTGCTTTCAACTCCACAAACTTAATTTATAAAATCACCTGCCACGAATGTGTAGATGTGCCTAATTCGCGATAATGAGTCCTGAGGTGGTTTGTTTGGGTTCTTTCCGCGCAGTGTGACGTGATTTATCCATTCATTCTGGTGCCCACCTGATAATTCAAACTTGGCTTAATTTGAACAATTTGATAGTCCTCGAGGAGTTTAAACTAATAAACTTATACTGTACTATGTGAAAAGTAGGGGAAAAACTTATAAAGTTGCCGTGGCAGATTTTTATATCTTTTTTTATCTTTAGTATGGCATGCCAAATTTTTTGTTTTTTTTGCTGGTCGCTGTCGGTCTTAGAATGAATCGATTTGCTTTTCATAAATGTAACAACTTTTTGACTCGATGGCTTCAACTGTTGTGGCTTGTTTTTTCATCCAGATACTGGCTACTACCTCTACAGGGGTGTGGATTTAGACAACGATTCAGTGCTGTTGTGTGAGAAAGAGGAAGTGGCTGAAACATTGAATGAACACATTGTCAAGTCTTTACGCTTTTGGTGGTAAGTTCATATCATCTTGATTTTGAGGTGAAAGTGTTACTCTTTGCTATTATGCATGTGTCGTCTGTTTCATCTTTCTGTCCCATTTATTGGGCTTACCAAGTACAGCACATCTGTTGTCTGATGAAATATCTGCTGTATGACATCCCCTGAAAAGTGTGAATATGGGCATCTGTGTCAAAAGAGGGTGCTTGAGAAAGTGTGGCAACTTCAAGTTCTGCTTGTGTACTCTCCTTGCCGTGCATGACTGCAAGATTTGGCTGAGTTGCTCACAGCAGTGTTTTTTCATCATGTGCAAAGGGTGGTTCAGGGCCCCTTTAAATGCATTTCCTATTTTTGTGCAAATTCCACATCCCCACTTTCAGCTCGCTGATAAAGAAAAAGAAAATCCTCGCGTATTGCTCGCACATTTGATATACAGGAAAGGCTGTATAAAAGCTACTGCTCAAGCAACATAGCACATATGTAGCCAGAAAAAGCTTTATTTAGCAAGAAGAATATGCTGTCGGCAAGGCCAGTCACAATTCACCCATTGTCACTGCTCTCGCTAGAGCTATCACCTGAGCCGCAGTCCTCACTGTCTTGCACAATGTCATCTTTGGTGCCATCCATGTTGTTTGTGATGCAGCACTTTTTGAAACTTTTCCGTATCATCTCACCAGGAATAGCCTTCCATGCCTCGAGAATTCGCTTGCAGAATATGGTCATAGTATCAGGCTGTCGGACGTGTCCTGTCAACATCAAGCCATAGAGGCCTTCGTCCATCCACTTGGTGTAATTGCGCTTGACATGCGCTTTGAAGGGCTTGTTAAGCGACACATCTAGAGGCTGTAACATTGACATTATTTTACCCGGTATAAAAACTAAGTCAGTGCCATTGCGTGAAAAGCGGTCTTCACTTCCTCGATTGTGTGGCCGCGGAATGAGTCAGGAACGAGCATAGACCTCTTTGTGAGCATCGCACTGGGCCTCTTCTCCCATACTGTCTTGACCCAATCCACGTACAAGTCACTGTTCATCCACGCATTCTTGTGTGCGTGAACCAACACACCGGCAGGCAAAGGAACTTTCAGACGAGTTTTTCTTTTCAGGGTGACGTATGGTCTCAGTTTCGTGCTTGGCGAGGGCATAAAGCAAGACTGTGCAGCGCAGTTTCATGTTCCCGGCAGTCAGCACGCTCACTAAACTGCTGCCCGTCTTCTCAATCTTCGTGTCCCACGGCATTTCAAAATAAACAGAAGTTTAATCTGCATTGCCAATTTATGAGAAAATGTAATTGTGCTGCTTTCTCAGGCCAATTACATATCTGTGGTACTTGAGAAGCTTCGCCTTGTAAGAAGCCGGCAAGGGACGACATATTGTAGTCCACTGTCTGATAGACTCTGGAGTTTTGCAGACATGTAGCGCCGCCTGTCAATGCAGTTTTAAGTCATTCAAAGTCCGACTACCCAGCACTGTTGCTGCGCAACCATGTGCAACTAGTGCATGTGAAACAACAATTGAGTGTAATATTAGGTGTGTTTGCCCACAGGATGCTCGTAAAAAAAGCTACGAATTTCTCTCCACTAGTCGGATGTGTCACTGAAGTGCTTGCTGGCTCTCTTGCCAGAACGACGGCGAAAACAAAAGCAGACGCAACAGCTCCGCGCTCTACCAAGAAAGATCTCAGTCGTTTGCTACTGTAGCGCTGTGAATTGCCACGAATGTAAAGGACTTCAGTTTTACCCATTTCCGTAACTTTCCCGAAACTGACCGGCGAGAGTGCTGGATACGTGGGCCGTTGCGAATGTGTTGGGTAAGCGAATTACTCGCGTTTTTCATAGGCGTTCGCATGAGAAAGTGTGATAATGCAGGTCTCCAATTATTGTTTGGAGTAGCCTTAATGGAGAACCACAGCAACATTGATTATGAAGCTCAACAGCGCCTCTGACAGCGGTGAGCACCGTGCAATAGTAAACTGCAGTGACGAGAGCGATAAACATCGCACACACTGCGACCACCGATTATTAGAAGTGATCACCACCACACAGCATTGTGCACGTAGGAGGCTCTAAGTACTGGTTTTAATTGGCAAATGCGAACACATACGTCATACAGGTGAATTGCAAAATGTTGGTCGTGACCACCATCAGGTTTTTGTTGACTCCGCGACCGCTGTAGCTCTCTCAGACCTCGGTTATGCCTTTCATTGTGCGCTGTGAAAATTGCATGCATGTATCCTCATTTTCAGTGTATACAATAGAAAGACAACCGTCAGCAGAACCGTGTAGGTTGCGTAATAAAACAGTTTAATGCACTGCAAGCGATAGGTGGATTGGGAGTGCGATTGTAGAGGCGAAAATTGCTGTGAACTTATCCGTTCCAGAGAAAGTGAGCTTCGTACCACTGATCGCAAGATACTTCATCGCTTTGTCATCATGTGTAGGCCCAAATTTAACGCATTTAGGTATTTCAGAACGCATTCTGTAGTGCTTGCCTCGAACTCGATGTTATGCAATGCTCGCTTGCCCTTAAATTGCGAGTTGCAGCACACCAAAATAACTTAAACATCTCTTGCATTGTACCCCTAGTTCGCTTTGATGAGCTTACTATTTTTCTGAAGCGAGGTTAGATTGACGGAAGAAGCTTGCCAGGTCTATGACTTTCAGGAGACCGCGCCTCAACATCAATGGAAGAGAAGCGCCTATGCACCCTCGCTTGCAGACGGCTCTCTTCGCACTTCCCATTTATGGCCAGTGTGGTGATGAGAGTGCTGGTGGCGGCGTTTTTCACAGCGCCGCCTGGGCAGAGTCTGACGTCTACTGAGAGCCCTTGTCGCTTCACAAAGCAGTGCAGCCATCCGCGGCTCGCATGGAATCTGTGAGGTAGGCGGGCCATCTCGGTCGATATAGCATGACCCCTGGTTCTCACATCTTCGATGAACTTTACTAGGTGCACTTCCAGCTCAGGGTTGGCACCGGTAGTGAGGCCACGAAAGGACGTACGGTCGCGGTTCACAGCTTATAGGCTCTTTGTTCTCCACAGTCGCACGCAGGACTCGTCCACATCGTGCTGTTTTTCCGCTTCGCGATAGACAAATTCCTTGGTGACAGTGATGATCTTGAGCTCTTGCTGTGCTGTGAAAGACTGCCACCGGATGCTGCTTATGGTGACAAAACAGATCAAGTTAGGCCTGGCGAATGGGTCGAGATGTGGAGAACTAGTGGTAGCAGTGAGGTAAACAGAGCTCACACTCAGTGACAACTTTTCTTGACAGCACCGTGGAAGCAACAGAATTGAAATGTAATCCTGCTACTGCGGCCAAAAGTATTACCTAAATTTAGTGATAATATCTCATATATATACCTTGCTGAAATAAATACTGCTTTATTTATCATTATTTGCGGGAAAAGTTGCAAATACTGGTATCGTTCACATTGCAAAAATGCCTTTCTTTTACAGTAAAAGCTCGTTAATTCGGATTTCACGAGACCGGAAAAACTGTCCGAATTAACCGAATGCCGAATTAATGAATGAACAGGGAAAACAACATTTAAAATGAAGCTGCAGAAGCATACCTTTATTTGTTGAAGTATTTTGTAATTGTCGTCTGTGTTTTCGCGCAGATGCCGGCTGACATCACAATTTTTCTTAACTGTTCTAAATGGCCAACAGCACGCAAGCTGTCGGGAGTGTCTAGGCAAGCGTCCTCTAATATTAACAGCGCCTCCGAGACTTCCCGTGAGGCGCGATGAGGTCGCGGCTGTATCTCCTCGCATGATTCTTCGTCGGAATCGTGGTCTTCATGGGCGCCCGTGACATCATTAATAATCTCTTGATCGGTCAGGAGACCACTCGTGGCGACACCATGATCAATCGCGATGTAGTCCTTCGCGTCGTAGTTCTTCACGTCGTAGTTCTGCCGCTTTTTCGGCGTTGCCATCACTGTAGCGTACGATGGTGGTGGCATGCAAATACAGTATCAATGGAAGAAAAAGAGAACTACGCAAGAAGAGATGGTTCCGACACGACAACACAAAAGAAAATGGCGTCGGAGACGCTGAGTGGAGAAGAAAGAAGACGCCGACGTTCGGTGACGCTGCGATCGCCCCCACTAGTTGATGATGACGGCGATGCCACTCAGGTTTCGGTTTCACTCTAGTGGTGCCAGCGCTGCTTTATCACACTATTGTGTAGCAGCAGCCGTCAGCATTTGTCCGAATTAAGCGGTGCGGAGCCGAATTCCGATGAAATAACGAAGGTTTGGTCCCATAGATTAACATGCACTTTGGCCGGGACCAATAGAGCCGTCCGAATTATCCGAATTTCCGAATTAACGGGTGTCGAATTAAGGAGCTTTTGCTGTATTTCTATTTCTTAGACAGCACCACTTTTTCGGCAAGCCCTTTTCCAAAGTAAACATGGGGTCTGTGTCGTAGGGGCATGTGGAGGGTGGTGGAGGATCTTTGTGCGGCCGCAAACGTCCAAAAAAACATACTTGTAATGCAACAGTGAGGTTCACACTCAACAATCAAATTGTCTCTCGCCAAATGTTTCTCTAATTGCTTCAATGATGCAAGCAAGCAAAACTGAAATTGGCCGTAAGATGCCGTACTACTTGTGGAGCAAGACGACTTTGATGCGGAAACAGTCTCCGTAGCGTTTGCTACACTGTTGAGAGGCTTCACGGCACAACACATATTGCGGTGAAGCAGCACTATAGAAAAACCTCTGCGTATTATCTGCACCCCCACTTGGCCGCTGAAATTTAGAGTTTTTAGTGCGGGTTATATGCGTGAAAATATGCTACGTTCACATTATTCCCTTACATTGAACCTGCATTATTCTTTCTAACTTGTGGTCATAAAGCTCCGCAAATTATGATGATTTGAATCCGCATCACATTTCTTCAACACAACTATTGATCTGTATCAGGTCAACCAGAAATGTAAAGAATAGAAGCATGAAGAAAAAAAGAATGTTCTCTTAACTTTTGGTATATTTATAAAAGAATGTGAAGTACGCAGTGGCCTGCATGATGTGTGAGATATCTGTTAGCGCATTAAAGCATGTAGTATTCAGAAGCTAAGAGCATGCAAACACTTCTGTAACATTCAAGATATACAATATATGTATGCTTAATTTATGGAATAAAGTACCTGGTGTAGTGGAGCATACGCACTAACGTGTATGCGCCTTCCAAAGAGAAGGAAAAACCCCGTGCTCTGATTGCACGAGAACCTGGGCCGCCTTTGCCAGACTTGTCGTACGGCCATTTTTCGTTGCGACATCGCTGCGACTTCTCCGGTTAAATACACGTCATCACACTGGTTAACATTACATGTCTTCTGTAGAGGCAGCATCTAATAAACAAGGGTAACCTCTGCATTTTTGTTATTTTCTTGAAGAGAATTCAATTCAGTTTGTCAGAGATGCTTAAAAGAGCAGTTGATCTACTGACATTCATGTATTCATGTATAATATGTGGTGTATTCAATACTGGACCAGTATGTTTTTTTTTTTTTGGGTGCAGGAAGGAAATATCGTTGATTGTTCTAGCTACTTTCATGATCAACATTTTCATAACGAAGCATGTGCTGCGACGTTTCAAGCTAAAGCATCTACAAGAACTGTCTTCCAAGGTATAATGACTTCTTTTTTAACTTTACTATTCATTTTTATGAATAATGGTGAAAAAAATTGAATTTATTGTTGAATTATATTGTATTTTGCTTGTATGCCAAATGCATTGCCATTTGTTTGAACACTAAATTTATGTCCCACCCTGCTAAAATAATCTAATTGCGATTGAGGGAAGTGTAAATAAATAAATAAATAAATAAATAAATTAAATAAATAAATAAATAAAAAGTAAACAAAAACATTGTGTTGTGCACATAGGCGAAGACTGCTTTTCATTTGTTGTCTGTTTGTTTAGGAAACAAAAAGTAATTCAGGATCAGAGTCTGCAGTTATACCTGTATCTGAGCAACCAGTTGGGCAACCTTCTGTGGATGTTGGCTCTACTCTGGGAGACTTGCCCAAATACACTTCCAGGTGACTACTGCGATTTTGTTTGGATTGCTTGTGGCACAAAGCTTAGCAGTAGCCTTTACAGTCTGAGCATCTGCTAGCTAAAATTTGTATGCAAAAACACATTTTCATGTGTTGTTTTGTTCATTTCTTTTCTATTTTTCTCAATTTTATAGTTTTAGAGAGACAGCGGCTTATTAAATAAATTAACATTTATCTGCTGTAAGTTTTGTAGATGTTGTGGTTCTTCCTTTGTGTGATGAATTCCTAGCATTTCTGTGATCCCTGTTAGGAAAGGATGCGATTATTTTTCATGCAACAATGGGGAAAGGGCACTACTGCTGGGTTTGTTGACTTTAGGACAGTGTACAGAGAAGTGACCACCAGGAGTTTCTCAAACACTGGTTTAATCAATGAGGAAACAGTACAGTTAAAATGAAGACGAAGCAAGAAATAAGCAACACACCACACAAAGCGCTGACTATCAACTGAAATTGATTCTGGTGAAAAAACATGAACAAGTACATGCATAGAAACACCTCATCACAACATAAAAAAGTAAAGATTAAAATATGGCACACTGCGATAAATGTTGTGGGGTCTCGATATGGCGAGCGAGCACCACGCCACGCTCTTGGAATGAACGGACGCAGAAGACGCGGTCGGTTCAAACCAAATAACATACGTACATTTATTTAACTAATTTATAACGACGATATCGTCCGTCGAATCGATACATAACTCATTATGCAATACGCTAGGACGTCGTTACACAATAACACGACAAACACACTAACACACCCAATGCGGCGTCGCCAACGTTTGACTTACCACGCGGGCCCCCGGCGTCGCAACCCGCGGTGCCACGCACCGAGGACCTACGCCAGAGACAACCGTTCGCGGTAACCGCCACGCGCAGAAGAGGCTCGCTCAACTCTCGCTCGCCACCAAGACCTGCCTTCCGCCAGGGGTCACCACCGGCACTACCACTCTACCAACAGTGGTACTCAAAGCGAACACAACCTGAAGGGACCAGGAAAATGTATTCCATTTAACAGAAGTTTTGTTAACTGAGAGATAAACAGGGGCACAGAATACAAGTACTAAACCTATTATATCAGAAACAGATGTTCCATTTGAGCAGCAATTTCGTTTAACAGATTTCCGTTTGCTGAGAGTCTACTGTGTTTTCTATTCTACTCAAACACTTTTTTTGGTGCTATGTTCAGTGGATCACCGTAAATGCATTTTGAAGGATCTTGAACAAGTCGGAAGTTTTCATCAGAAGTGGTGTGGGTTCATTTACCAAGGGAGCAGCATGCATTACTGTTTACTACACTGGCTGCTGTGGATGAGGGTGCACAGTAATAAAAGTAATTCATTACAGCACCTGCCTCATCCTGCCAGCTGTTTTGAAAGCAATTCTGATAAGATGAGATTATAAGTTATGTAAGGAACTTTTGCTAAACACGTTCTATGAAACATTTAATTTTATTTGATTTCAGTCAGCAGTAGCTGTGCTGAAAGCAATTCGGATAAGATGAGATTATAAGTTATGTAAGGAACTTTTGCTAAACACATTCTATGAAACATTTAATTTTATTTGATTTATGTCAGCAGTAGTAGTAGTAGTAGTCCTGTTAATTTTTCTGTAACACTCCTATTCAAAGTGGAACTAAAATAATGCTCTTCATCCAAATAACTTACTGACATGCTTTGGCCGCAAAATAACACACACAAAGTAAAAAAAACACTAAACGACAAGCACAAGCGGCTTGTGCTTGTCGTTTAGTGTTTCTTTACTTTGTGTGTGTTATTTTGCAGCCAAAGCATGTCAGTAAGCAAGTACCAACTAGGCCAACAATCAGTATTGTCATCTAAATAAATTGGCACTGTTTCACCCGTTTGCAGTATGATTAGCTGCAGAAATAAATGTGGGAATGGAAGAGCTCAGGGGCGTATTCACTGAAAGGCAGCACATGCTTGCTGTATACCACAGTGCTGACAAGATGGCTGTGTTTTTTGAGTATGCCTGCTGTACTATTTTCACTAAATGCCACTGATATTTATGTAAAACATTGATCACTGTTTCCAATTTGCCAATGGGGAGATTTCTTCCTGCTGCTAGCGAACCTTCTGAATATGCCCCGCATTCATTGTGACAGAATTGAAATGAAAAAGAAATTAACTGAGATATTAAAGAAAAAGGCTTGGTTAGCTTGCTAGTGCATTCACTTGAACGCTGCTGCTTAGAGTGTTTCAGCTTTGTATATTCAACTTTACTGTGCAACGAGTCGAGGATAAAGTTTACTGTGCGTCTGAACCAGTTTGCAAACTGGTTCAGCCAAGTAAATATTAGTACAAGTTTTTCAAGTTATCCAGATGTAAAATTGTAAGTACAGCTGCTGTTAATGTGGCATTGCCGTGAGTTAATATTTCACGAAATTGGGTAAATAAAAACATTTAGCAATGTTCATGAATGGTGTCCTTCAAGGGCCCCTCATTAGGTCTTACCTGTTTGAGCTGACAAGTGCAGTGCTTACATTACATCCTCACAATCATGTCTGTCAAAGAGTTGCATTGCTACGTGCTACACAAAGAGCTAAAATTTCATACTGAGCATCATTTGCCTTTCTTTCGGATGTCGTTTTCAGGAATTTGGGGACAATGTATGATACCGAGTGTGTCTATGTAGGTGTTGGTGCTGCGAGATGTTCAATTGAGAGCCTCCATGTCTTCCCCACCTGCTGCATGGAGTAGTACACACACACATCATGATGTACTAATGTGTGTGTGTCTTATGATCCTCCCAACTCCAGCAGGAGAGAAATTAAGGAAGGTGTTAAGCTCGTGAAGGCTAGACAGGGCAAGTGGCAAGTGTGTGAAGCTTGCCTCCTAATGTCAGGTTTTCACACCACTTCAAAATATTTTTATGCCTGCTTGTAATGAACCATTTTGTAATGAAAAATTTTTGTAGTACGGCCTGCTGCCAGAATATGAAAGATTGAGTGCCGCTGGGGTAATGGTGCCCACTGTTACACATCTAGACAGGTGCGTAATGGTCACAGTTTATTCTACTTGGGTTTTGTGACATGCAGGTATCTTGCAGACTTTGAGCCTGTTCGGTGCCTTGGCAAAGGTGGTTTCGGACTTGTTCTTGAGTCGCGCAACAAACTGGATGACTGCACGTATGCTGTGAAACGTATCTGCCTCCCAAACAAGTATGTAGTTCTGTATGCTAGCCTCCTTTCTCTTTCTCTGTTTTCGTGCCAGTACCACATCAGCGCACAAAATTCTGTTAAGTGTTTGCCTATCGCTGGTAAGTGACTATGACAATGTTTTGTTGAGCTTAGGTTTCGGCTTCAGTCCTTATTGTGGCAGATGCATTTTGGCGAGGTAAAATGTGAAACTGCTGGTGTTTTGAGATTTAGGTGCACATTGTAAAGGGACATGGATTTTAACTCGTTCACTGCCCCGTGGGTCATGGGCTGGGCTTCTCTTAGGTGGCCGCAATGTTACGATTATGCATCTGCTTGCTGATGCGATAACTTCGTGAAAACTAACACAGAGGTACAGTTCTTGTTGCATTCCGATGGAGGCGGAAATGTTGTAGGCCCGTGTGCTCAGATTTGGGTGCACGTTAAAGAACCCCAGGTGGTCGAAATTTCCGGAGCCCTCCACTACGGCTTTTCTATTAATCATATGGTGGTTTTGGGACCTTAAACCCCACATATCAATCATCAGTTCTTGTTGCAAGAGGCTATAAATAATCAGAAGAAAATTTTTTCTGGTGTTAGATGCCATGACCCACCGGTGACCCTCTGGTGAGTCAGGGCACACTTGGAAGACATGCCGAGTGACCCACTAGTCACTCCACACATAAAACGAGACCTCAAGAAAGCTTGCCACAGCGGACGTTCTAAATTAAAGAGGCCCTGCAATAATTATTTAGCGCAGTTAGAAAATGCTGCCTTTTGGTAGTAGAGGCTCCCGAGAACACATAAGTAAAATAAAAAAATATAGCGCAGCACTCGACCTGGAATTCGCAATCACTTCTCAAAGTCAGCTGAAAATCGCTTTCTCTTTTATCGACAAAAAACAGAATCTCTAAAATCAGTCATCACAGCCGTTCTATCAGCTATTAGCTGTTCTGAACATGGCGCGCTCGTTCGTTACAAGGATCGCCGCAAAAGGCCACGACTTCTCCGCACGTGCACGCACGATCGTACTAAAAAGCTGCATATTTGAAAAAAAATATTGAAAAAAGTGCTCCAGGTCATGAGTGACATATTTTCTTTGCCTGTGCCATCCCTCCCTGCTTAGCTTCCAGTGCTTTTGTCGAGACAAAAGAAAGGAGAATGCGATTGCAGTGTTCGACAAATCTTTGTAACTCTGCTCATACTGGACGGATTCTCAAAATTTTCGCGGCAGTGAATTCGTGAATAAGCTCATTTAGTGAATCTATTCCATGACAACTTGAAAAAGTGTTGCAGGGCCCCCTAAAGGACTGAGAAAGTCCGAAAATAAATTAATATATTGAAAATGGTATATTCAGAATTTTTAAACATTATTCTGCCACTCCACCACACTTCGTGCAGGTCATGATTGATTTGTGGGGTTGAACGTCCCAAAACCACCATATGATTATGAGAGACGCCGTAGTGGAGGGCTCCGGAGATTTTGACCACCTGGGGTTCTTTAACGTGCACCCAAATCTGAGTACACGGGCCTACAACATTTCCGCCTCTATCGGAAATGCAGCCGCCACAGCCGGGATTCGAACCCGCGACCTGCGGGTCAGCAGCCGAGTACCTTAGCCACTAGACCACCATGGCGGGGCTTCGTGCAGGTCAAATGAATATTTTAGCTGTAATGCAGTTTCCAGTACTAGTGTTGGTAAATATGAAGCAAAGTCAGTAAATGAAGCGTCTTTTTTATTGCTTCACGGCTGTAACCGGAGTGGTTCTAGTTCATGGTGTAAGATATATACACTTCATGTGGGGACACTTCTCAAGTTGCTTGCGAGGCACATTTGACCAGATGAAGTAACAACAGTGTACGTCCATTGGTATGTTCACTGCAGCGGATATCTCTTGGCAGGACGATGCAACTTCAAGAGATGAGATACGCGCACAGCATTGTTACTTTATCTGGTCAGTTGTGGGCTGTGAGTGTCCTCACCTAAAGAGTATAGATCTTGCACCATGCGCTTGCCCAAATATGTTCCTAGAGGCTACTGCTAATTCAATTGCATTTGTGAATACAGTAGACTCCTAAGACGAAATCCAAGAGACCACGATCATTTGTTCGTCCAGCTGGGGAACTGAGGAACGTGAGGAGAATACAAGAAGACGAATGCTTTTTGCTGTTTTCTTTGCTGATAAAGCCGGCCCTTTCTCCACCTACAGGCTAGGAGTCTTATCAGACGTGCCCCCAAAAACCAAATGCTAACATGCCAAGCATGCTCAAATATGTTGCTTGAAAACACTGAGTGAGCTATTTATGATGGGTAGGAAAGGAACAAGAAAAAGCATTTATTTGGCTCAGCTTGATAAAAACGATGCTCTCAAGTAGAGTATTTAGGCTAATCTAACGAGTACAGTAAAACCTCATTAAGGGGGCAGACTGGTCTTAGACATTTCTTGTTTATTTCTTCAGTGACCTTGATCAAACTGCACAGGATTATGCAGTTTTTTCTGCTGATTTCAAATATTTAATTAATTTTCCTGTAACTGATCTTGTTCCTGAGATAACTGAAGTTCACTTCCTATTGTTTAAGGCCGCCATAGAAAAAAAAGTGCTGAATTAAAAGTGATATTTAGGGTATGCCAACGTAGTCTAATGACTATAGAATGAAAGTAGTAAGAGTTTTTTGTTTTTAGGCCTTTCTTGGTTATTTTACAGCAAAATAAACTATCAATTTGCAAAAGCAGTTGGAATTGTATTACAATTTTGATGAGTAATAATTAAAAAGGCTTGTGCTCTAAATTTTGTTCCCATACTTGCATTCTACACACATATAGGTTTTCATTGCAAAAAAGAATTTTTGTTGTACCTGCCTGAGCTGCAGAGATATTGAGGCCTCAAAATTGAACAGTTGTAAATTTACTTTTTTGAGAAAAATGGAAAAAACTGAAAACACACAGCTTCTTCAAAAAGCAACAATCATGGTGCGCATGTTTTGCAATCCTCATAAAGGTGCTCATAAGTTCATAGCACAGCTTCTAACACAGGTGCCAGCCAATTATAAAGAAGCCGCGAAGTTAGTTCCCCCACTTTTTTGCAGGTTCTGCATGTTAACAGCACGGAGAATCTGGACAGTTAGAATGACATTACAAAAAAAATTAACATTTCCTGGTGTAGGAAAGTTTGCACAGAGATAGAAAAATACTTGCAGATACTTGCAGAAACCAAATATGTCAATTTTAAGAAATGAATTTTTGTCACTTTTTGGTCCCAAAGATCGGTCTGCCTCCTTAATTTGAACTCTGTTATTTTGAAATCATGCTTAACCCTTTAATGCCTGAATTATAAAACTGCTGAAGAAAATAAAAATTGTTTTCATTTTCTGGCATTAAATAGCAACCTTTAATGCATTCTTTTGTGTATGTTACAAATTCTCCACATGTCACAGAAGCGAGGACCTTGTAATGAAAAACGTGCTTCAGACGTGCTACACAACATGTCATGTGCCACGTCTTGAGCGTGTACACACAAAATAAACAAAATTACCGAAGATGGAACTTGCGTCAGCCAGGCGAGAAAGAATGAAGAAGTGAACGCTCTTGGATGCGCTTCACGCTCTCCGCCATCAGCTCCAAAACAATTGGTTCTAGTAAAAACATATTTTACACATGATAGCGCTAGATTTTTCATACTGAAAGCTACGTTCCCCGTCAGTACTTGACAGCCGGCAATAAAGGCGGCATGCATTCTGTAATTTGCTTGCTCGAAGTTTTTCGGTATGTCGCGAATTTGTGACATTAGGCAGTAATGGGTGAATTCTAAGTATTTCCGTGGTCCCGCATTTTGCCATGAAAGTCTGAGCAGATAATTTGAAGCGGCGGTCAGCACCAGTCCGGTTACTTCAATAACTTTGGGTGCCGTGTGCCTATTCCCATTCCCGATTTCGCCGCACATCTGCGGAAACGAGGGCCTTTAAGTGCCAAAATGTTATGCAAACAAAGCGATACTAATGAGTGGCACCTTACGCACCCCAGTTTAGTGGCTTCTAGAGCAAAAAAGGAAAAAAAAAAGAAACTGGTGTCGTGGTCAATCAAACGTGTGCCTGCAGAAAACAACACATGCTTGACTGCAATACAGTGGTGATGCGCGGGCAGCATATTACATGTTTCTCACTTCGTCAGTGCGTCATGATTTACCCATTCTTTCTGGGATCGTGAAGAATTTTATGGCATCTTCGACTGGCGGCACCAATGGCGTTTTTTTGTGCACTCGTGCGGTGCCCTACGTTCTGGGCACCACGTGTGCGTTGCAGCATGTTCGGCTGGGCTGGCCACAACACGAGTGCACGCCACCACGGCACCGTGGAGGTCGACGGTGGAGCATGGTGCAATCTTGGAGCCAACGCGCGCTGGCAGACGAAGCGCTGCACTCTAAAAAATAGCGAGTAAAAAGGGTGTCTTTTTGTCCCACAACAATAATCGTCATCTATATTGCGTTCCATCCTTGCGCTGTCGCCCCGCGCCCGGTACATTCCGGTCACGATCGACATGCCCATTATCAGGGTTACTTTGCATTCTCGAGTTTTCCGAAAGGAAAACTCGAGAATGCAATGTAACCCTGATAATGGGCATGTTCTTGAAAACTCGCGCAGAGTTTTCAAGAAAGAAAGCGCACGCAAGCCTGATGACGATTATTGTTGTGGGACAAAACGACACCCTTTTTACTCGATATTTTTTTAGAGTGTGGTCTTCCATCATAGAAGGTGTAATTTACAGCTGGCACTGGCACAGAACACATCCGGGCGGGACAGAAAACATGCGTGAGGTTACATCGTTCGATCGTACTCGCACAAGGCTACCTCTGTTGCCAGGATTGCACTGGACACCGAAGGGGATGTGAAAAGTACCGAAACCCTCGTTGAGTTGGTACAGAACTGATGCAGCACAACTGCCTGGAGAATGGACGCGCACCCATTGGACAAGTAGCGTCTCGCAAGTGTCTCTCATTGTTTGGTTTTCTGTTGTTTTTGTGCTCTTATTCAAAGTACGAACAAGACGCTGGAACTTGTCGTCTGCTGAATGGCGTCTGTTGCGGACGGCGCTGCTGTTGTGAATTCGAGTTTTGTGGTTCACGCGTTCACCTGGCCCATAGTTGGGTGTGAAACTCAGACTGTGTTTGACGTAACTTCTTTTCCACCGTCACGGTGCCAGTGCACCTCAGCCGGAGATGCTATTAATCGCGAATTTCGCTATGTATGCGAACCTCCGATTGCCGGTGGCTCCAGTAATTTGCACACTTGCACTGCTGGCGAAGTTCTTGCCTGCAATGTCTACTTCGAAAACTAAGTTTGAAAGCTTCAATGAACATGTTTTCCAGCCAAAACATATTGCAAATTTTGTCACACTGGCCATTATGAAAATTTTTATTTTACCAAAAACAATCGCCGAATGGTCACATCATGACGTGCTGATGCAGCGAGGAGCAGGCGACATGCTGCCCGCGTGTAATTACTGTGCTCCAGTGAAGCGCATCTCGTTTTCCACAGGCACACATTTCAGTTGATCACGTCAGCGCTATCTCTTTCTTTTTCTTTTTCTGGTGGCAGCAGTGAGGCCCGCCATTCCTCCATGTTTGTGGCAAAAATTAAGACCAGGTATTGTGGGAAAACGAAACCGTTGGAGCCGCAAGCTAGCTGGCACAGCAAATGATCAGACCTGATTACTTAGAATAATTGCAAGTTCCTTGAATCCCATTTTTGTATGCTCTGTTAATCAAAAGCCTCCTTAATTTGAAGATTTCTCACGGCCCCAGTGACTTCGAATTAGTGAGGTTTTACTGTACTTGATTTTGCTAGTTCATAATAAGTATGATCATGAATAAATTCCTACCACATTTTAACAATAGAACTAGCACGACCCTATTTTGACGATTAGAAATAGATAAATAGAGAGAGACAAGCACAGTTTGCCTTCAAAAGAATGAAAAATTTATTCTTCTGGCTCTTGACCTTCTAAGAGGCTGTTTTACTGGCTTTGCTATCACTTTTTGACACGCCTTCATTGCATACCACTACCTTGACAAAGCCAATATACGCCAAGTTGCTTATGAAAGTGTGCAAGCTTTTCTTTGAGGTTGGGATATTTTCTTATTTTCAGCCATCAGTAAATTTTTCTGAAAGACATGCAGCTGAAGATCTTCGTTTACGCTACGCACGGTCACAAGCCTCAGGCACGCAAAAAAGACACACCGCAGCTATATTTAGTGTGCAAAATGACCTTCCTTTGTCGTGCACTTTCATAATGAAAGTGGCGCATCACAATTTGCTGCATTTCACTGGGAACAGACACAACACACACAGGCCCTATGCAAAGTAACGCAAACTGACCACAAGATGGGCTCAGGTGCCATTGTGTGATGGCAACGACAATGCATCTGACTTTTCTGATGGGAGTGCTAGTGCCACATATGTGGTTTTGGTTTCATGTGGTTATAAAGCACAGGCAATCTTTGCTCCCGTTTTCACTTTGATTTAGCTTTTTTTCACTCACTTTCCTGCATTTTCCCCTCTAGCTAAGCGCTTGCGTTCTTCTGTTCTTCACTGTACTCCAGCTGAGGAACGTGAGGAGAATGCAAGAAGACAAAAGCTTTTTGCTGTTTTCTTTGCTGATAAATCCAGCCTTTTCTCCACCTACAGGCTAGGAGTCAGGGAGATACTAGCTTTATGTGCTGACCTTTCTTTTCCACTTACTGGCTTTCTCCCTCTATGTCACAATTCACTTTCGATTTGCTTTGTGTCTTTGCGCTAGGAAGGTGTTTGTGTTCTTTCCTTCTTTCCCATTTTGCTTTCTCCTGTTCACCTGAATGCCCCCATAAAGACTATAACGTTACTATTACGAAAATGAATTCGACATGAATAGAACTAACCCCAAAAGGCAGTGGCAGCTGCTCAACTCCTTCCTTAACAAGTCATCTGCTAATGTCCCTCTAACCAAAATCGACTACATTGGATCCACCTTCTCTGAGCCCAAAGAAATTGCCACTGTTTTTCGGAATACTTTTCTTTCGTCTATACTAACCACCGCCCCCATGCGCATTCGTATACTTCTCTGGGACGTACCACGCAGTCATTCTTTATTTTCCCAACAACACCACACGAAGTCTTTTCCACTATTGCTAATCTAAAAAATACAGGGCCTGGGTTAGATGACATTTGTGTAAGGCATTTAAAACTGGTTGTACATTTAGTTTCTGATAATTAGTGTCATATTATCAACCTTATGTTTAAACAGGTTTATTTCCTTCATTCTTAAAAAATGCTAAAGTAATTCCAGTTTTTAAAAAAGGCAATAAACAAACAGCTTCCAACTACCGTCCAATTTCAATTCTTTCCTGCCTCAGCAAACTAGTAAAAAAATTGTTTGTTAAACGTCTGACTATTATTATAAAGACAGCCAATTTGGTTTCCGTCCAGGTAGGTCAACAAATCTAGCTGTGCTGTCTCTAACTGATTACATAAAGAAAAGTATCGATTTGGGAAATTTAGTGGGTTCGATTTTTTTAGATGTCATTAAAGCCTTTGACACTGTAAATCATCAAGTCTTATTGCATAAACTTCAGTCCTATGGAATAACTGGCCCTGCGCTTACATTTTTAAAAAATTACCTACTTGACCGACAGTACACAGTACACGCCGCATATACCTTCTCTACAATGAAATATGTTAACCAAGGAGTATCGCAGGGCTCAGTATCGGGTCCTTTGCTATTTATTTTGAATGATCTTCCTGATGTTCTTAGCTCTTTTGACAGTGGTCACTGTGTTCCATATGCTGATGACACAACAATATCTTCATCTGATAAAAACATTGATGCTCTTGTTTCAAAGTTAAATCTTTCATTAAGTGCCCTCATGAATTGGTGCAGCAGTAATCACTTAGTTATCAACCCCACAAAAACTAAATTTATGGTGTTTAAAAGTGCTCAGAGGTCATTATCTACTATTCCCTTAATACAACTTGGTATTCATTCCATTTCTGCTTGTTCTGATGTCGTCTTTCTTGGCATACATCTTGACCCATGCCTTTCGCAGTCACTTTTAACCATCCTAAGCAGAAGACGGCGTTTGGTATCCGCGCATTAATCAAAGCTCGTCCTTTCTTTTCCCGTGAAGCCCTGCTGGCGCTGTATTTTGCGTTAATTCATAGTCATATTACTTACGGTGTAGTCTCATGGGGCAACACTTATGCTTGTCATTTATCATCAATACAGCACATTCAAAATCAGTCAATCCGCATTGTCACTTCTAGTTCTGCGCAATCGAACGCCTACACATTACTACGCTCTTACAATATCTTGCCAGTAAATCTTTTGTTCCGGTTGAATCTTGTGACCTTATTCCACAAATTGCTGTATAATCAACTGGCATTCCTATTTATTGCATCTGATCTTTTGCAGAATAATAATGTGACCAGGTTTGTGGCTGATAAAAATTTCCTGTTACCCCCCCGCTCATACTAATTATGGGCAAAAAACTTCCGCTTTCAGTGCGATATCCTTTTGGAATGCGTTACCTTCTAGCATTAAAGAAGAATGGCGATTTGGGCTAGTTGGTTTGAATTCTAGCATTAGGTGTTGCACTTCATTTCCTTTATTCAAAAAGTCCCTCAAAAATCATTTCCTCGAATAACCATACTTGTGATCGTTTACCTGTTTGACTCGTTTGTTCTTCAGTTCTTTTTATGCCGTGTTGCGTGTTTTGGCTTGATTTGTGATGTAAAAGTGTATTTTGATGTCCGTATATTGTAAGAATTTTCTGTTGCTCCGTATAAATTTTACCGTCATTTTGTATCGACAAACTGAGGGGTCCCACTAAAGTCTCTGGCTCGGGGACCCTCATCTGTATATCCTAGATTTTGTAACTTGTTTTTGGAAATAATAAAACTTGAAGCTTGAAACTTAAACTTGAAACGTTCGTTGCGCAGAATCTCGTGGCATCTTCGGCTGAGGTGCACTGGTAACATGACGGTGAAAAGGAAGTTACATCAAACACTGCCCAAGTTTCACGCCTCGCTATGGGCCAGCCGAACGTGTGAACCACAAAACTCGAATCTGTTACAGCAGTGCTGTATGCGAGAGACGTCATTTAGCAGACGACAATTTCCAGCATCGTGTTTGTGCTGGTTATAAGAGGGCAAACAACAGAAAATCAAACAATGAGAGACACTTGCGAGACGCTACATGTCCTGTGGGTGAGCATCTGTTCTCTAGGCGGTTGTGCTGCATCGATTCTGTACCAACTTGACGAGGGTTACGATAATTTTCGCATCCCTTTCAATGTCCAATGAAATCCTGGCAGCAAAAGTAGCCTTGTGTGAGTACGGTCGCACGATGTAAGCTCACGCACGTTTCCCATGCCGTCCAGCCGTGTTGTGCGGCAGCGCCAGCTCTAAATTACGCCTGCAATGATGGAACGTCACCGCGTCGTCTGCCAGCGCGCGCGGGCTGATGGGATCGCACCACGCTTTACCGTCGACCTCTGCGGTGCTGCCGTGGCGTGCACTCATGTTGTGGCCGGCCCAGTCGAACATGCGGCATTGCACGCGTGGTGCCCAGATGAACAAACGACACGGCACGAGTGCACAGAAAACGCCACCAGTGCCGCCAGGCGAAGATATCATCAGTCATTGTCGGTCACTGCGATAGTTCGTCTTAACAGAAGAAACCTGTTATGCAGTTCTCCTTAATTAAGCAGATTTTTTTTTGCATTGGATCTATGGGAAATCAAACAAACCCTATTATTCGTCTTAAGAGAGTTCGTCTTAAAGGTAGTTTACTGTATTCTGATACTTTGTGGGGCTCTATGTGGTGCTCTGTTGTTGTTGCAGCCCTGAAGCTCGCGACAAGGTGATGAGGGAGGCAAAAGCACTGGCTAAGTTGGATCATTCCGGCATTGTGCGATACTATAACGCCTGGCTGGAAAGCCCACCTCCTGGGTGGCAAGAACACCAGGATGATGTGTGGCAAGGAAGGTGGGTATGAGTTGCACTGTCTATGCCATCTTACCCAACTGCCCACGTATGTGGAGCAGTTTCGTGTTAGTTTCTTGCCTACAGACAGGTTGGGGGAGCCCCCCTCCTCCCCCACTACTCCCAATCATCTAAGGAGGCCCCATATCTTTATTTAGCAGGGCCTGACCTATAATTGTTTAATGTGCAGGTTATGGTCATGTAAGTTCTTGCTGATAGGGGCAGCTAAGGATATGCTGAATTTCCCCTGAAAAGCTAGGTACCAAAGGCATCATCTTCATTTGTGCATCCATTGTGAAGCAGCTCTTCTTTTGCATTTGACCAATTGGAGGTAAGGGAGGGAGGGGGGGGGCTGTGATGAAACTTGGCCTTCCATTAGTGGAGGACCCTGTATGATTCTATGTCACCTGGTCACACAGTGCTTTTTTAAAATTTAGCCCACTTTTATTGCTGACTGAGAAAATTAAAGCCACAGTAGGTACTATTAGGGAAAGAAAACAGTCAAACACTTAAATTGGCTGTTAAATGTCATCATTTTATATTTTGTCGTGAAAAGAAAAGCAGTTATTAGTTGCGTATTGTTAAGGAATTTTCTAAGCCCTTGGTAAAAAGTACTCAGAGTTGCTCAAGAGGATAGTGAACATCAAGTTGGTCGCAGTTTTGTAAAAGGCATGTCAAGTTGTTTAAGCTTAGCACAAGTTTGCAAAAACACTCTGTACAGGCCTTTTCGTCAGGGCTCAAGATGCTACCTGTTTGGGCTGTCGCACGTAAATAAAAGGCATGTGTACAGTAAAAGCTCGCTGATTCGGAAAATCGGATAATTCTGACATGTCATCTAGTCCCTGTAAATATACTGTCGTGTACTAGTGACAGCATGGAAGACGGGAGACTGGGAGGCTCGTAAGAATGGGAGGGAGCACGGTGATTGAGCAGACTTGCGCCATCAAGGAAAAAGCAGCACACTTCGGTTTCGGTGGCAGGGAACTATGTGTTAGGCGGCCGACGGGGGATAGATAGCACGCGAAATTTTTAGGCAGCGTCTACCACTCGAGACACGCCCCTCGAAACAGCTTCGTGCGCGTGACCGCGATCATGTCAGATAAATTAGCGACATGTGTCATATCACCAAAAGATTTAAAGCTGCTGGCCGGCATGCACAAAGCAAGCAAAAAAATGCTTCGTGGCATTACTCTCCGCTAAAGAAGAGCATCGCCCCTATGCTAAAAGGATTGCATGCACAAAGGTAAACACGGACGTAAACACGAATCGCACACCACACACAAAAAAGGTAACTAGAAGTGCAAATACAAAGTCTCTTTTAGCGCTCTTGGTACGGCTTTAGACGGACGATGTGCACAACTTCTGGTCGTGCACGACGTCCCTGAGATGCGCTAACATCATCAGTAACCACTTTGTAGTCCAGTTGACCGACTCGATGGACTACTTTGTATGGGTCGAAATAATAGTGCAAGAGTTTTTTGTTTAATCTACGGCGGCGAATAGGTGCCTAAATTCATACTCTGTCACCTGGCTTGTATGTCACTTCGCATCTTTGGAGGGTGTAGCGTCGGGGGTCGGTGCGCTGCTGGTCTTATATGCATAGCCACGCAAGCTGCCGGGCTTCTTCTGTACGTTGGAGGTAGGCGGCGACACCTAGGTCGTCCTGATCAGTTGCTTTAGGGAGTGGCATCCCTTCCGTGGACAAGTTTGAAGGACGTCATTTTGGTGGTCTCCTGCACTGCGATATTGTAGGCAAAGACCACATCAGGTAGAATCAAATCCCAGGTTTTGTGCTGTGGGTTCATAGATGGCGAGCATAGCGGCAATGATCTTGTTCAGGCATTCCGTGAGACCATTTGTTTGCGGATGATGCGCAGTTGTTTGGTGATTTGTGCGAGTGTAATGTAGGATGGCCTGAGTTAGCTTTGCTGTAAACGCTGTTCCCCTGTTTGTGATGAGCACCTCAGGGGCTCCGTGTCACAGAAGAACTGATTCCATGAAAAATTTGGCAACTTCCACCGCTGTTCCGTTTGGTAAGGGCTTCGATATGGCGTAATGTGTGAAGTAATCTGTCGCTGCTATAATCCACTTGTTACCTGATGTTGACTGGGAAAAGGGGCCCAGCAGGTTGTGGGGGTCTCGGAAATGGAGAGAGCGCCACGCTCTTGGAGTGAACGGACACAGTTAACATGGTCGGGTCAAACCAAATCAACACACTTATTTAACTACTTTTAGCTCGACGATATCGCCAGCCAAATTAATGTACATCAATTGTGATCAACACGCTCAGAAAACCTTACACAATATTACACAACACTTAACAACATGACAAACACATTGCCAATGCTTGACTCACCACGAGGGCCCTGGCAGACGACCCACGATGTAGTCCTCCGTGGACCGCCACAAGAGCCAACTGCTCGCTCTAACCGCCACACGCAAAACAGGCCTGCTTCTTTCTCATGTGCCACCACGCAGGCTTGCTGCCAGGCGTCACTGCCGCCAGGCGTCACTGCCGGTGCTACCTTTCTAATCATGATGATGATAATGGTGGTGATACAAACGCTCGCGAGCACCTCGCCACCTACCGCTTGGTAGTTGTAAGCTTTGAATGTGGCCTATACACGAGACACATGCGCCACGAGGCGCAAACAACTTTACAGGGGGTTTTAACACACCCACAAGGTTCATAACGATCTGTTGAAATGGTTGAATTGGCTGTAGGAATCCAGCTGGTCTTGTTGGTGGTGGTGTTTTGTTACTGACATTCCCGGCAACTCTTTACATAACGCGCAACATCTGCAGTGAGACGAAGTCAGTAGTACCTCTGTTGGATTCTGTGGAGGGTACAAGCAAAACTAAGATGGCCAGCGGTGGGTTCATCGTGTATGGCTTGTAGAATTTCCGCTCGGAGGCTGCTTAGGACGACTAGAAGGTAGGTGGTCTTATTGGGTTCAAACGTCCTTTTCACGACCACTTCGTTTCGCACTCTGAAGGACGGTAAGCCACGCCTGAATGTTGCAGAAGGATTGGAGGATTCACCGTCCAGGTACTTGATGAGTTCTTACAGGTTGGGGTCTGAGCGCTGCTGTTGTGTGAAAGTGCTGGTGCTGATAGGCCCAACAAAAGCATCTTCATCGTCGTGCTTTGGAGGTTTGCCGACAGGAGCTTGTAACAGGCAGTCTGCAGAGTCAGAGTGCTTACGGCCAGACGTATAGACCATCCTCACGTCGAACTCGTGAAGCTGTAGGCTCTATCAAACTAGGCGGCTGGATGGGTGTTTCAGATTAGCAAGCGAGCACAACGCGTGATAATTAGTCACAACCTTGAAGGGCCTGCCTTACAAGTACGGTTGGAATTTTGACGTGGCCCAAACTATCGCCAGACACTCCTTCTCTGTCGTAGAATAGTTAGCCTCTGAATTCAACTGAAAACAGCTAGTGTATGCTATGACAGTCTTGTAGCCTTCTTTATTCTGGACAAGAACAGCGCTGAAGTCGATGCCGCTCGTGTCCGTATGAATTTCAGTTTCGGCGTTTTCGTCGAAGCGTCCAAGCATAGGCAAGGACTGTAAAGTGCGCTTAAGTTCTTTGTTCGAATATGTCCCGTTGTGCATCTGCCCATATGAAAGACACGTCTAACTTGGTCAGCTCAGTCAGAGGCGCAGCAATGTGCGAAAACTTCCTGATGAACCGTCGGTAATATGTGCATAGCCCTAAAAACCTGTGCACCGCTCTCTTGTCTGCTGGCTGAGGAAACTGTGTGATAGCATCTGTTTTTCTGCGAATCTGGGTGTACCCCGTCTTTGCTTATGTGACCAAGAAACTAACTCCTCGTAGGCGAAGTGGAATTTTTCTGACTTCAGACTTAGCCCTAATGTTGTGATTGCATCCAATACTGTTCGAAGTCTTTTCAAGTGATCACTAAAGTTGGATGAGAACATGGTAACATCATCCAAGTATACCAGACAGATTTGCCACTTCAGACCTGAGAGTACCGTGTCCATTACCCGCTGGAAGGTTGCTGGGGCAAAACAAAGTCCGAATGGCATCGCCTTGAACTCGTACAGCCCATCCGGTGTGATGAAGGCGGTCTCTTTCCAATCTCTTTCGTTGATTCTGATTTGCCAATACCCGGTCTTCAGATCCATGGACAAAAAGTACTTTGCATTGCTGAGGCAATCCAATGTATCATCTATCTGGAATAAGGGGTATACGTTCTTCTTGGTCACGCTATTAAACCGGCGATAATTGACGCAATATCGAAGACTTCCATCCTTCTTTTCGACAAGGACGACCAGCACTTCCCAAGGGCTCTTAGATGGTTGAATCACATCGTCATGCGATATTTAGTCTATTTGCTCTCGGATGGCTTGGCATTCACACGCTGACATACAATAAGGGCTTTGGCGGAGGGGGTGGATATATTCTTGTGTTATAATTTGGTGTTTTGCAATCAACGTTAGTTGGACCTTTGAAGAAGTAGGGAAGCAGTTGCCGTAACTTCGAATAAGGTTCTGGAGCAGTTCTTGCCTGTGCTGGGGCAGTGAAGGGTTAATGTTGAATGTCGGCTCCGAGCTTTGGGGCTGTGTGGTCACTGCTGTCAGGTCTGATGGGGCGAGGGCGGTGCTCACTTTGGCAATTTCTTTCACTCCTCGCATTTCGATTCTTTCACTCCTCGCATTAGGTACCCAACCTTTTTGTCTTCTGTCATGTTTAGGTCTGCTCACAGAAAAATACGTTTCAGTTCTTTGACATACAGGTTTACAGTCTTATTGGGTTGTTTGGTCCTTGATTCAAGGAGCAGCTGAGTCCTTTCTTTTCGCATGATGCTGGTGAAAGTCCTGAGCACCTCATTAATTAAAATATTCCATGGGGTCAGTTAAGTCTTGTGGTTTTTGTACAATGTTTTGGAAGGCCCGTCTAGCGAAAAGTACACGTATTGCAGCTTTATTTCTTCATCCATCCCACCTGTTGATTGTAGCCACCTGTTCAAATAGGTCCAGCCATTCTTCTGGGTCTTCAGCGGGCATAACCATGGAAAGTTGGGGGCATGCGGGACTGTTGCAAAATAATGGGGGTGGATGTCGGCGGTCACTCATGGTGTATGCGGAAGCTCTTTTTCGTGGTCGCGTGGGATCTGGTAGCAGTCCCAGCTCAGGTGGTAAGTTTCGGAGACGCCAACTGCTTCGAGTAGGTACCTTCAGCGTCCTTGTTCTCTGTGGTGGCCATTGCAGGATTACTGGCACAGAAGACAGGGAGGCTTGTAACAATGGAAGAGAAAACGTTTATTAGGCGGGCTTGCGCCACTAAGAAAAAAAACTGCACAGCTCGGTTTTGGTGGTGGGGAACGATGTGTTCATCAGCCGTCGGGCGATAGCACGCTGAATTTCCAGGCAGCGTCAATCACTTGAGACACGCCCCCTGGAACAGCGTCAAGCGCGTGACCGCGATCATGCCAGATAAATTGCGACATGTGTTGGTATTATCAAAAGAGATAAAGCTGCTGGCTGGCATGCACAAAACAAGCAACAAAATGCTTCGCGGCACTTTGATACTGGGTGCTTGTTATTTTGGACAGATTTGACCGTGAATTGGAAAATTTTGCAACTTTCGGGCCCCTGGTGAGGCTCGAGAACAAAACAAAACAAAGAGACCCATTCGGAACAAAAGTGAACCTCAAATGCAGCACTGCCATGAACATCAATTATTGACTTGGCTTGACTCGAGACTGGTCAAACATCTTTTCTTTGCGTATGGGTTTGGCGGTGTTATTTTGTTGCTTTGTTCTCGTTGGTGTGCGACATCGTTGAGCAGTTGATTATCATTTTGTTGAGGAACGATTCAGTCTGGTTCTTTAGCTTGATGTTACAGGTGCTTTTTGTGCCGAGTTCCTGTGTGACCGCACTCTCCGCTGATGGCAATGCTGGCGAAGCAGCCCAAGTACGAGGCCAAGGACTTATTTTGCGTGTCCTGAAAAATGGGCTCTCCAACAAGAGGTGAAGAAGTTCAATGTTAAAAGAAGTACTCCTAATCGTCAACCTCGGCAGGCAAGAGAATCCTTGACGAGGTCGGCATGTCTTCTAGGCTTACAGAGGAATGGCGAACAACACTGAGTCGGGAAACAAGGGCGACCTACATGGTGGGGCCCTTCCCGCTAAACGTACGTCCACAACCTAACGAGGGTAGGAGCAAAGCCCGTGCACGAGCCATCCTGAATAGAGTTTCGGATGATATTGACTCTGCCGTGTTTGTCGACGCAGCGCAGTACGGTAACAGTAGAATGTTCGTGTTGTCGGTTATAGACAGGAGGGGAGTGCTTCGCTCCTCCGCCTCGGTAAAGGCGGCCACCCCGGTTATAGCATAGCAAATCGCGGTTGCGCGGGCCTTGTCCGACCCAGAGCGTTCCTATATTTACACTGCCTCAAGAGACGCAATTAGAGCTTACCAATCGGGCAACCTCGCTCGAGAGGCGGCCTCCATTCTAGAATAGAGGGCTTGTCCAGGTTATCATGTTATCACTTGGTTTCCTGCACACACGGGGAAGAACGTTCTCGAAGATTTCCCAAACCTCAACAAGCTGGCCCATGATCGTGCGCGAGTACATGATGAACTGTGTGCACTCCTCCTACATACAGACAGAGAGAGATGAACTCTTGAATTCATTGGTTTCGGAAGCCGCCTGAAGCAGGAAAGCCCACCTAACCACGGCCATGGCGGGGTCTCCCCGATTCTCGAAGAAAACTCGCGCATCAAACTAAACCCACGTTCGTTCTGTTCTAGGGGGGCGGGGGAAAGGCCTGGGTGGCGGCGTCGCCGCCGCCACTCGTGTTGGGGGCTAGGGAAGCACTGCCATAATGCACTACCACACAGGCTCCTGTGTCCAGCGGTTCAAGCTTGAGCAGTTCATGTTTGTGAAGCGCAACACATAGTTAGGTAGACGGTGATAGCCTTACCTCTCTCTTTTTTTTTTTTTAAAGCCACCCGTTCAAGGAGCGGTTCAGTCATAATTCAAGTTTGAAATATAAATGACAAATCGATCATTTAACTCGTGAAATTTTGTTGTAAAATTTCGATGAATGAAACCAAAATAAAGTTTTTAGCTCCTTGCAGTGCTTGCAAGCTTTATTGAAGCACTTAAAAACCTCGAGAACGCTCAGGCACTTTTTATGAAGTAAACCTAGTGACAAAAGAACTAGCGACCGATTGCCAAACGTGTTAGGAAAATCAGGCAATCGGGAGATCAAGCCCAGGAAATCAGACATTCCTGAATCTCGTGTTGAGAACTGGCCATCTCGCACTCCCAGTGCTCCGGGGTGGGATTATTTCATTATTATCGTTATCTTTTTTTTTGTAACTTCGCTTCGTTCCTACGACTCGGCACGTATCTGTGTTCGCAGCGCCAAGCAATGAGGACATTGAGAGTATTTTTCTACACCTTTAATAGCTACTACTGTAATATAATGCTGAAGTTAGTCATGTAGGCCTGAGTACATGCTCTATCGAAGTTGAAGGCCAGAACGCTTTCTGTAGAGGCACCTTTAGTTAGCCAAAGCCAAGGGTAGGCATGATGTGGAAGTGTGAACAATCTTCCAATTTCAGAAGAGAAACTGCGGCATAAGTTGGCATACAAACAAAGGCATTATCTCAGCAGATACTGAAGGGAGAAACAAATTATCCTCGCACGTTGGTTCTGATTGATACCCCATAAGATAGGGGCGAACACTTTATGCACGGTCTGATCTTTATCTCACGAGCAGTTTAGTACCTGACAAACCTGAATAGCCTTTGCGACAAGAAAGACATGGCATATCTGCGTACAGGTGAACACAAACTTCTCCTCACCCCATCCGTGCTTGCAAGGCGTGCTTAACAAGCGTGAGTGCTAATGAGCAGTGTGGCCCTGCAGGTATTCCATATTGGATGCAAAGGCACTAGGTGCCCGAGCGGTGGTGGACTGTTTCATGTAATACCAGCAGATCTAGAGCATTTTGTTCCTCATCAAACAAATTTTATTTTTCTTCATATTCACGACCGCTCGAGACGAGGGGCAAAACTGCAGAGTCTTCTTGAATACTACTTTTGTCAACATGAAAATACACTATGTCATCAGTTTATCATTAACAAATTTAAGCTTAAACAATTAAAATATCACCATTCCTTCAAACATGCTGACCATGCAAATACTATACGTAGCGGGAGAACTGCTCCTATAGGAATTTATTTAGAGTGGTTTTACTGCACGAGATATGCCACCAAAATACTGACCCTCAACATGTTTTACATACTTTTGCAGTTCTTAATGCATCTCATGACACTGTATTTATGATTTCGTTCATTCTTGACCGAATAAAGCCATCATTATGGATTTCATACATTGAGGAATTGAAGGAATGGAATTGGACGGTCACGTCATTCCTGGAGTGGGAAAGGGTCAATTTTTTTCATTTTGAAGAATGAAAAGGAATGGAATTGCAGCAAGTCTTAATTCCTCTGAATGAGATCGGAATGGAATGGAGGCACTCATTCCGCAACACTGCATTGCACTGCTAAGCAACCTTGGGAAAAAGATTTGTTTATATGAACCAATGTTTTAAGGGAATTTTTTACACTTTAATTTTTTTTTGCTCTAGAAGGCCCAATTTCTGAACAGATGAAATTACAGTTACTGAATATTTTTGAATATCACTGCTCAACCTTTTTAGCATCAGTCTCGGAATCCTGCATGCTTAACATCCTCAGGTGCTTGTCCATTCAGTCAGTATGGTGTACAAATAGTGCTAAATTAATGATAGTGTGATGCCATTTCATCTTGAGCGTGAAGTTCGAATTGCTTGTTGCATTTGCAAGAGGAACCAGCGCGCTGCTAGATAGAACCTGGGAAGTGGCAAAAGAGAATATTACTGCATTGACCATCAGGTTTCTTATGTCATGCGTCATGATACTATATCTGTTAATGATATGGCCTTCCAGCCTTCTGCTTTATATAAAAAAAACACTAACATATCAGGAATGTGTCACCGTTTTGTAGACTTTTTATTTATTTTGCAGCTTTGACACATGCACAACCTCCTCGTCCTTTGATAAGACCACCACATCGGCTGCAAAGGACTCTTCTTGGGGGAATGCCACACGTCCTTTCAATCCGTTGCGGCCTTTTGAGGACCAATTTTCATTTGGAGACATTGGGCACGGCAGTGCAGTGCTGTCTTCCATGAACTCTTCATCAAGTGGCATCACCACTGATCGCCACACATCGGATGATCGTTCCTTGTGCGTGCCTTTTTCTGCATATGCAGCTACTGACGAAGATGACTCAATGATTCAGTTTGAGCACTCTGGCAAGGATGTCAAGGAGCAGTCCATTTCAAAATCTTCAGCGAAACCCAAGGAAAATGGGGAGCGGCCAAAGAGTTTGTCGCTGCCTGAGCAACCACCCATGAAAGTGTACTTATACATTCAGGTATGTATAAGTGAATGATGGGGGGTGTTCTCTGTTTAAAATTTTATGTGAGTGTAATATATATAAGGGACCTAAATGTAAGAGTAATTGCTCAGTAGTATAAAACAATTTGTCTGAACCTTTCATGTACTTCAAAAGTCAGTCAATCACATACAGGGTATTTTTTTATCGCTTCAAATTTGCAAATATTGGTGAAATATAGTCTGACTATTTCTGACTATTTATATGTCTGACTATTTCAATCTAGGATAAATGGAATTTTCTTTTATATCGAGCTACCTTTAAACAGAAGATGCTTTAATGTCAATTGATAGGAAGATCTATGGACGCATTGATCAAAAATAGCCGGAGCACTTCAGACAGTGGCTGACTGTAAAGTAATAAGACTGGGTCTGGTAATAAGCATTTGTCAATCCGATGAGTACATACAGTATACTCATAGTAAATGTAAATCTTCGTAAATGGAAGAAGTGCACCTTGCAAGATTGGTTTTGTTCTTGCATTCTGCACCCCTGGTCATCTTTCAGTAAATAGAACTCCTGGTAAATAGAACATATTTTTCTGGTTCTTTCATGTTCTGTTTAAAGAGAGTCTGCTGTATTCCATTTCTTCAAAATAATTTATTTGGAAATTGGGACACCAATTTTAATGCAATTCCCACGCTTTAAAGGCACCCTTAAAATCAGCTGCCATAAGTTCTGTCAAGAGGCTCATTGACAGCCCGTTGAGTGGTGGTAACATCGCCGAAACAGTGACCATTCTGGCTTGTCTTGCACTTAAATATTAGGAAGAAGTCTCTGCCGGACTGGCATCAGAGCTGATGCAGCCTTGATACAGCCGCTTCGTTGGCACTCTTGGTTTTGTGTACTATGAGCAAAGCACCGAAAAAATTGTTATAGAGACTTAGCATGCTCGAAAAGACTTACTGGGATGTTCTGAGAAGCAGTAACAGCTTTCCCATTGCAAGGCTCTCCTTTAACTCAAAATTGAACTTGTTTAATTCATATTCTCTGATATTCCTCTTGAAGCAAATTTTCCCATTTGCAAAAAGGCTTCAACAACCGAAAATTGTGGTACTTCTAAGCATACAATGTCCCACTGCAGTCTTCTTTTCGCAGCTTAGCTAACATTAAACTGGACATGTAGTTTTTTATTACTCCTGGCTGATTTTTCATATAATGAACCATTTGAAGTGGTTAGCTATCCAGTAAAGGTTAGATTGAAGTTTGCTATCAGCAGCAGAAACATTCTTTGAGCATGTACCTGAAATTTCAACTTTTATGGCAACCTCTCCGAGAAAGATATGGGGAATTAAGGAAAAGCAGGCAGGTTAACCCTTTGTAGGTTTGCCTACATTTTTGACATGATGGTATTTAAACTGGTTGTCGTGTGTAGTGGATGTAAGCGACAAAGAAATAGTATAAAACTAATTGCATCAGAAGCAAGCCAGTACTTACTGTAAAAATTTGGACACATGTTCCTCTGACTAAAATTATATATTGTCCCACTGACTCATGAAAGCAACATCTTGTGATCACATTTCCTGGTATTTGGCATGAAGTGGCCAGAATAAATATGCAGAAGGGCACTTTTCCAAGTTGTTTTAAGTAACATTGTGCATACATCATTTACAGCAGCAGAACACCACCTGCTGTGTCGCCTCTTATAAGCCTTCGTAGAGGGCTGTGGTCTCTTCTTGTGAAGCTCACTTCCCTGCATACTCAAACCATTTTTTTGCCAATTCTGTTGTCATTTCTTTCACTTTCAAAATGTTAGTGTTGATATCTAATAGTGCTTAACAAAGAATGTGCCAATTTTGCTGAGGATTATGTTTCGATGCAATTGTCGATCGACTTGCGACACAATTTTACAGAAATGCATGGTTAGTAGGAGCTAAAATTGCTTCTCTAGAAATTCAGAATATTATATGGTAAGTTCTATAGCTAAGTTCAGAAGTTTTTGTAAAAAGTGGAACAAATTTCAGCAACATTGTGGTACTACCACATCTTTTTAAAGTGCGCTAAAGCAATTTTTCTTTAGCACACAAAGACTCCAGTAACAGCCACTTAGCACAGCGCTAATTGCAACAGATGACGTGGGAGAAAAACTTATCTGCAAATGGAAAAGTGGGGTGCGTGTGTCTCGATGGCACATGAAGGGTTAACTAGAGTTTGCCTAGTTTGCTATTTTACATTTGGCAATAAGAGTAATAATATGAGAGAGAAGGTATTAGTCTTTTTCTTTCAGCTCATCAGCCCAGAAAGCTGCATGTGCACCTCTGTAATACTTGCACGCTACTCAAGTGCCTGTCTATAGATAAGCTGCACTGCTTGTGAATTGTCTAGACCAGTGTTTCTCAGCCATGAATTTTCGGCGGCCCTTGTGGACCATTAGAATAGATGAGAGACTCCTTGTAAGAGAAAGAAGGGGGCCGGGTAGTCGCAAGACAGCAGTGCAGCATGAAGTACGTTGCTTTAATTTCAATGGGTCATTGTTAACCCCTCTGGGTTCCACGGAACTCCATTAGAGGATCACTGGACTATACACATACAACTTCTCACTTTACTGAGAAAGTGCCCGTCATAAGCTAGCCAGCTTATCGTCAGCTTTTGCAATTGCAAACAGAAGAATGAAAAGCAATGGAAGATGGCAACTAGCATCCAGTGGCATTTAGCAGCCATTGTTGACTACTTGCTATCATGTCAACACAATATATGCACAAGATAAAACTACAAAAGTAAGGATGTTTCTTCAGCCGATGCATATGTCACAGTTGTTCTTCAAAGTAAATATTGCGGGTGTGCCAGTAACGTTTTTGACTTCTCAAAACATAAGCTACTCACACTGAAACAGTATTCTTCTGACTATTCTACAAAGATAAACTTGATTGCATTTCAACGTCTGATCTTCTGTGCAGCATCCCTTGTGAACAGAGTCTATGAATCATGCAGTGCTCTCTGAATTTTTTTCCATGTGCCTTACAGATGCAGCTATGCAAGAAAGAAAGCTTGAAAGAATGGCTGCACGCTCATTCTACTGATCGTGACTATGAGTCTGTTCTTGACATATTCTACCAGATTGTCAGTGCAGTTGAATATGTCCATGACAATGGCTTGATTCACCGAGATCTTAAGGTGTGTTGGCATTTGTATAATTTTACTTATTTGTTTATGAGTAATCTTTGTTATATAAATAATAAAATGCTTAAATTGTTCATTCCAAATCGAAAAAGTAAACATTATTTTTCAATTTAACAACTTTTTAAAAGTTTCAGTCTTCTCAATATAAAACTTGCTAAAAAGGTTAAGGCGTAGACAAGTTAGTTCATTAGGCAATGAAGGGAAAACTGCGCTGAAATTTAGATGAACACAAAGAAGACGGAAGACGACAGACGCTGTCTTTACTATAAAGCTCGAAGTTGCTTGGTTATGAGCTAAAAATGTGTGATGAAGTGTCACTGTTGTTTCTGCTTACGTACTCTATATTTTCTTGTCTGACTTTTGTGAGTGATGTTTTATTTAGTGACATGAGCTCTTCTTTTTCTTCTCATCGTCCTTTGCTTTGATTTACTGAGATTGGTAAGCAGTTTTTTTTTATCTTTTTGTTGCTACATACTTTTGCTTACTCTGTACTAAATTATTGTTCTGTGCATGAAAAATTGTGGGCCTTAGAAATAGCTAAACACTGATGACTTGCCTTAACGAAAATTCTAGCCCAGGTTTTCTGCAACGTTTTTTTTTTTTGCTGGCATTCATAACACTGGAGTGTGTGCGGTATTGGATACCGAGAACACAGAAAGCATTGTAAAAATCGGTGCGCTTCACTTTGCCATCAATGTCACTGGTTGCTTCTTATCACCATGCACTTTTTATAGAGATTATACCGGACTTCTCATCTTGCATTGACATTTGCAAGCCTATGCATAGTGTACCTAGCACCATTTTGCAATTGCTTTCAAAAGTTGATATTAAAGAACAGGAATCCTTTTGTACCTGCTAATGTAGAGATCGTTTTCATAATTTTTAGCACACAATTTTGCGGCCTAGCTGTGACCATAAGAATCTGAGATGCGACTTGGCTTGTCAAGCCAATCAGAATGCACAGCCACTGGTGTGTGACGTTGGGTGTACCAGCCACTGGTTTGTGGTGGATTGTTGCGTCATACGACCAAATTTCACTTTCCATGCCAAAAATTTCCATTGTATGTATAGGCGTATCAGGCGGGGGTCAAGGGGGCACGAGTCCCCCCACTGCGAGAAGTAGGGGGGGGGGGCTCAGCCCCACCCTCCCACTTTCCACAGTGGTCACTCTTGGCTGCACGCTGGGGAAACCAATAAGTAGGGGGTAGTTTTCCATCAAAACAGTAATCACTCAATTATGTTTTTACGGGATAATGAAATTGTCACGAGGCTATGTTGCAACATAGTGAAATTTTGCCAGCATTGCCGCTTTGATGACTTTCCTTGTAGCTTGTTTATATATATATATATCTATATATATATATAACTGCTTTGTTTTCGATGTTCCTACTTGCATTACCACACCCCTGCATCCTACAGTACCAAAAAAGTGGTGAAAATGACATGCCTAATTTGTGTAACAGGGCCCCTTTATGGTTGCAAAATTCTCTGTTGTGTCAATGGCATTTGTCAGGATTTGTACCATTTTCACCTGTAGTATTTTTGCTATTGAAATAAATGAATAAAGAGCGATCTTGTGCACATAGGCAAGTGAGAGAAGTGGGTCCTATTCTGTATACTTTTCAACTTGAAGGGCCCCTGCAACACTTTTGTAACTGCCTTATTTAGCATTAGAACGCATATACTAATCAATGATGAGACGAATACAACAAGAATGTTGTGAATTGGTGCATGAAAAGTGAAGTCATGAGACCTCAGACTTCTAAACTCGAGCAGATGAGGAGAAATGTTTCCTTTTGCATTTTACTCATCCACTGACATAAAAGCCCTTTCCTATCACCTTATGCATCTCATAAAGACATACAGGAAGGGTTGCTTCATAATGGCCTTCCCTAAGTACCACAGTACTGTTCTTTTTGACGGCATCATTATTGTGGTTACCTACGTCGAATCACGGGCATTGGATAGCAGACGCTCCCATCATCTCACTGTGTTATATACATACTGTATAAGACACATGCTTGTTAGGCGGGGACACCTCTCTGCTTGCATGCAAGACGCATTCTACGGCAATGCCAATGTCTGCCACGTGTCGCATTTTGGCTCGCTGAAAACTATGCATGCATTTTCACCTTTAGTTACTTGCATGCCATAGCCGTGTTTGCCGACTTAGTGTCTTGTTCGTTCTGAAAATTGTTCGCTTTGAAACAAAGTAGCCAAACCTGGCAAGCCTGCTGCTAATCCAAAAGATGTGGGATCAGCTATGGCTGCAGTAGTTGCATTTTGGTGGAAGTGAAATGCTACAGATGCTCGCGTATTGTACAATTTCAGTGCATATTGTAGAACATCACGTGGTCAAAATTATCCATAGTATTCCAGTAAGGTGTCTCTCATAGCCTTTGTCACTTCGAAGTGTTGAACCATATAAACAAATCAAATCATCATGTTGTAAAGCAGTTCGCTTGCATGGTGGGAAAGGTGAGAGGGCGCATCACGAAGCCTTTTAATTTGCGGAAAAGCGTGACGCGCGATGTTGCACTCTATGGCGTCGCAACTATTTTCTGACGTGGATGCCGACGGTCAACACCCGGCAAGCATCCAGAGCATAGACTTTTTTGACGCCTAGACAACTGTCTTCACGCTGCGTGTTCTTGACGCATTCTATTTAACAGAGAAGCTAGGCAAAATGTGTGTCCGGCCAAAATAAAAAGAAACTTTTGCACTGGTGCTCATGACTGCCATGGCGGCTAAAGGGGGCCATATCATGGCTGCGCTGGCTGCTCACCACCTGGGTTTACTTCCACCCAGCCATGAATATGACGAGGAGCAGCTGCCGCCGCCAATCTATGCCGACCAACGGAGATAGTTCACGCAGTCACCGCGCCAAGTTTACCTGCCGTGGCGCGAACAGAGTACTGGCGATGATAGGCCTACGCCAGATTTGCACAGTAGTTCTGGTACTTGAGTTTGGACATTCTCGCGTGGTCTGTGACGGGCTGTCGTTCGACTCTGTTGTCTATGCCAAAGAAAGACCTAGCATAAACCAAGAGGCCACGTAAGCACCTAAAGTAGACCATCTTCACTGTTACTTAAACTTTTCATAGCTAACCTCCTTCCTTTTAATTTTTTTCTCTTTTTCGCACTCCACTCCTTGTTAGTTTTGCATCCCCTCCTTCTTCGTAGCGCCTTCATCGCTGTCCCTCCCCTGCCGGCGTACCTCTGTTGAGAAGCGCGGTCATTACCTCACTTATCTGAGCCGCATTACAACCGGTCTTTTATCTTGGTGGCTGCGCAATAAGTGATAGTACGTGTGTACATGCAGTTTATGGGATTATAAAGGGTAGTGAGAAACGTCTGCTTTATAGCCGGTCCTGCACTATTCGGGGTTTCGCGCTGAGTAGTCCGAGCAGTACGTGCATGGAATGTTGTGGAATGCTTCTTAGTTGCACTTTATTCAGCTGTTTTAGTTGTCACATATCCGGCTTTTCCAGTCGGTGGTGACCCTTTAGCATCTCCTACAGCCTTATTCTCTGCTTTAATTTACGGTCTTGGTTGGTCGTAAACATTTTTTTTTTCCTGCTCCGAAATGCACTTTTCGTGGCTGCAAAAACCTTTTTCTCCTATCTAAAATACACTTTTGGCTGGTCCAAAATCCCTTTTTTCCCGCTCCAAAAGGTACCTTTTTTTCATTGCTACAGAAACCTGCTCCAAAATGACCTCAGCCAATCATCATTGAACATGACAAAGGGAAAACCTTAAGCCTTTTGCCCCCCCCCCCCCCCTCCTCTTTTTCCATCACTAAACTTCCGTAATTTTTTTATCATTGATAGTTTATAATGAATCAAATAAAGTGTAGAATGCAAGAAACCAATTAGAAAGTGTATACGAAATATGTAATAGACGTGAAAAATTCTAATACGGGAAGTCTACATTTCTCCTACCCTAGTAAAGGTTTACCGATAATTTTTTTGTTAAATAAGAAATATTGAAATTCAAAAAAGATAGTTGCATTTCTCATGCTCTGTAAAAAATTTGGGCGAAATTTCATGGTCATCAGAGCACCAGAAATACCCGAAAAATGAGGGAAACATTGAAAAAAAAAAAGCCAAAATTTGTGTTTTGAGAAAAATGAGTTTTAAAGTGAAAATTGAATGTTATTTATGAAAGATGTCAGTAAATGCAATGAAATTTACACACAAAAAATAACAATTTTTCGTTTTGTGGCCAGTGCCACTAAAATGCACTAACACCAAAAATTTGTTTCGTTGTGATTGCTCAAACCAGTAATTGTATATAAATTATTTAGCTTGACACGGTTCCCCTTTTGGACCGAAGTATGAAGTGCTCTCTAGGCAACGCAAATTTTTTTCCAGAAAATTGACACCTCAATAACTACTTTCGGAAATTTACCTGGTACACTTAATATAGAATGACACACACACACACATGCACACACATACACACACATATAATTTAGCTGTATATTTGTATCTGACAAAAAGATTATTTTCATATCATACTTATTACTAACCGTTGCTGTGAATTTTGATGTGTAACCGATTACGTTTACCAGTTTATCAGCTTGGACTTCATCTTTCCCACAAGAACTGGCATTTTAGGTGTGTAGCCAATGCCTTCTTTATTTTTGTCGATGCCAGTGCAAACATGCACTTTTCAATGAGAGCTGCTAGTCCGTCTTAGTTTAGGGAGTGGTCATGATAAAATGCCCCATGTAGAGTAGGGCTGCTTGTGTGACACACACAGGTCGACAAAACTTGTGGAGCTCGCTCAAACTTGCTCGTGAAATATATTTGGAGCTTTGTGCTCGCTCAGACTTCTCAGACTTGCGAAAATTTTCCTGAGCCGGACTTTCTTCCACCGGACTCACTCGGTTTCAAAGTCACCAAAACATTACTCACCCGGACTCACTCAGACTCACGACTCGATCCGAGTCTGAGTGAGCCCGAGTGAGTTGACTCATAAGTTTGTCAGCCTAGAATTAGATTCTTCAACTGTGCCGTCAGTGCTGTTTAAGACCAATATCTCATGTAATCGGTGCTCTTCTTGGTGCCATTTGACATACTGTCTTTGAAAACTAGTTCTGACTGCTTCCAAACCAGTAAAGTCGTTTTTCTTGGAAGAGTTGGTAGGGGGAGGTAAAGGCACCCCCCCACATACCTTACACCTCTAATTAATAAATATTAAAATGGTGTATGAACGACACTGCTTTGGAATACCTGTGAGTAGATGTCAGTATAAACATCAATCCAAGTAAGGCTGTTAGCAAGCTGAAGATGGCAAGATATGACCTATAGTCGGCAAAAATGATTGGGACTCAGACTCACTAAAGAAATATATTTTGCACTTTGGACCGCACTTGGACTCGGACTCACCAAAATTTTCCTGAGCCAAACTCACTCGAACTTCTGCTCACAAAATTTTTCTTCAACCGGACTCACTCAGGCTCGGAGAGAATATTACTCACCTGAACTCACTCCGACTCAAGGCTCGATCTGATTCTAAGCGAGTCCGAGTGAGTCGACCCATGAGTGAGTTCGCCAACCTACGTGTGTCCGAGCACTTTTCCACAGAGTTGTGATAGATGTGTTTCGCTCTTCATTGTCACACTTCTATCAAATTTGTTCCTTCTTGCTCCGTGTTTGTGGCTTGAAGCACTGTCAATACTGCCTCACAGCGTTCGTGAATTCAGCGCATGCAGCAGCGTCGCAGTGACTGTTGCCTATTAGTTGCTCGCATAGCACCACGAACAGCAACAGACTATCTCAAAACGTTGTATCTCTTGAAGAGCCAACGTGACCGCCAACATTGTGAGCACGAGGAATGCAAACACCGCCCCTTGTATCTGTTCACAACTGAACAAAAAATTACTTCATATGATTTCCGTCATGAGGCATGCATGAAGGCTAGGCGATATGCGAGAGCAGGAAAGGGCTATAGCAGAGGTTCGTGATTGGCTCAATTGGGTGCATCTGGCTGGCATTAAGAAGAATAGAGGCGGCACTGGTATAGCTTATCTAGCTTAGTTTAGTTTTGAAATCCTCAATGCTGGCTATTTTGGTGACATATGAAAATAGCATATTGGACTCATGCTGATTGTAAACTGCTACTTTGTTAATGGTTGCATGTAATTTGGGCTACTTTAATTAATAATTTGGTCTTGGCTTTATCGTTTTTATATCATTTCTTCCACAAGCACTGGCCTTTTAAATATATGTTGTGCATCTTACTTTGTGTTCAATGACCAACCATCTGCTTAATTAATTGTTTCTTGAACTGTGAGGTATAATACTTATGAGATGTTTAAATGCTGGTGTAAACCCCATTATTGATCCTGAATATTCGGCCATCTGCTCCCAAAATGCTTTTGGCCAGTCCAAAGCACCATTTTGCTGCTACGGACTATGCTCCTAAAATCAAGATGTCGCTTCCATAACTACTGTTGACCTGTTTAATAATCAAAGGAAGCATTGTGTCAGTTATTTAGAAAAAAACGGAGACCTTCAGAACGTTTTAGTGTATAAGAATGAACTGGGCTTTGACCTTTAGAGCCCTTCATGCAGCACATTGCATTGAACTTGAGGTTGTTTTATTGTATAAAATTTGACTTGAATACCCATTAAAGAATCCCAGCTGTTCCACTATGACATCATGTCTTGTAGTCATATCCTGGTTTTGGCATGCAAAACTGCATAACTTAATTAAAATTGCATAAGATCATGTGCTTGGAGACTGAATACTACCGTAAGCTCTGTTCAGTGTCACGCTAATGTCATGTCGTATTCCATTACTTTTATTATGCAAGAACTACATTTTGTGATCAGCGCTCTGCCTTCCTCTTCTGTTACAGCCGTCCAACATCTTTTTTGCCATGGATGATGCCATCAAGGTGGGAGACTTCGGCCTGGTGACAGCTCTGACAGGTGGCTCAGTAGTTGCAACCCCTTTGGAAGCACCCTCTGGAGATATTTTCTCCAGCAAGTCAGGACGCCTGACTGATCAAGTGGGCACCCAGTTGTACATGAGTCCGGAGCAGGTAAGGCTATTGGGCTTAATATTTTTCTGCCAGCATAAGGTCAATAATAGAAGACCATCTTTTCATTGGAGTATTCAGTGTATGTTTGTGGCACATCATTCTAGTACCTATAGTTATGAACATATTGCAGTTCATTACACTTTTCTGTTACTAGTGGGGCTGTGAAAATGTTTGAACTTTCAAATATTTTTTTAATGGTGCTTGCTATTTGATTTGATTTGCACTGGAATTTCACAATTAGAAGTGTTGGAACTTCATGAAGATTAAGCACAGTCAATGTACGAGTGGCAGTGATACCTTCAAAGTTCTGATGTGCTTCACTCCTATTGCAGTGAAGCTGCCTTTCAGACTCTGCTACAGCCACAAATTTTTTACTCAGGGAAACGCTGGTTCCAACATAGAGATGATAGATGAAACAGATCAGGGGGTTCAATTAATGACATTTTAATGTAACAGTGTTAAGGAGCTCATTTTGTAGAAATTTCGATGCCGGTGCCGGCGTCATTAGTTTTGAGTGAAAAATCATCATATTGTCTGTGACAAAATCAAGAAAGATGCAAATACAATAGGTAATAAAAATTTCCTGGCCTGAGTGAGGATCGAACCCATGCCGTTTGCTTGGAAAGCAGATGCTCTGCTACAAATCCACGCGTATGCTTGGAGATACAGTGAAAATAACTTTCTGTGCTTGTAAATGCTGTGAAAATAACTTTCATGCTTTACAAACGCATGCAACTTGTATACAGGCTTGAAAATACGTGTGATACCGCAGGACTATTGCGTGGTACAAGTGTATATTGCCATCGGGCATTGGAACGTGTGATTACCATAAAGACTTCGTTGTTTAAAGCTGGCCACCCATTACAAAAAGACTTTACCTTACTACGGGTATTCCATTCAAGGCCCCTAAACCACCCAAAATATTTTTTAAAACATTTCAAGTATCGTGTTCACAATGTTGTCTCAATCAGCGATTCCACGTGTGGCAGCGCTATGAGCTGCCGGAACGCCACAAATTCTAAGAAACCATCCCTCCTCCTCTCCAGGCCCTTTGTGCGAGGGCGAGGAGTTGAATCTCTGACGCGTAGCAGATATATGGTGCGATTGGTCGAGCAAGAATCTACGATTTCTGGTTAGCCTGTGAGCAGCTGTCTGTTCTCTATCCCCTCTTTATTTTGAAATGATAAAATAGGAGAGATTGGTGCCATGGTGACACCGGCTACTCCTTCTCACTTAGGAGACAAAGTATGTTGTAAGAAAATGATAAGTGCACAAAGCGCAATGCAGTAGATGTGAAAGTACTACGCAGCCGAACATCACATGGCAGTTCAAATACGCTAATAGGTTAATATGTACACAAGTGTTGTATCACGACTTCCACACACAAAGTCATTTCGCTCTGAGAGTACTCCTTTATGTTCGTCGTGTTGCCCGCATGCGCGCGCCTACGAATCGGCTACTACGGCTTGTCAGGTCTATACGCGCGAACGGTCTATACGAGCACGATTCCTATGAGCACGGGCTGGCACGGCAGCAGTGGTTTGCCAACAAGCACACAGTTGACGAAGTCAAAGGAGAGACAGAGTCACGGCAACCGGAAGTGGACGGTGTTTTCAGCAGCGCGTCTGCGATGAGGTATGCCAGTGGTTTGGGGACCCCTTGTGGACTGGTGGAAGTGATGGGGGACCCTTGCAGCGGAGGGGAGGGAGGTACGTAAATAAATTAACACAACTGGAGCGTGAAACAAGTGCCTTTTATTGCTACCAAAAATACCAAACAAACGTGCCACATTACTTCATTTTGGACAGTTCATTAATACGTGGCACAATCACACTTAAAGAAAAATGCGGGTGAGAGTGTCATGGATCATAGAAATGGCTTCACTGAGCCCCTAGAATCCGCGGACACCCATTTGAGAACCACTGACGTATGCCATGCGAGATTGGGAGGAGCACTCAGGGAGAGGGCAAATCGTCTTTGAGAGAGGCAAAGCATCTTTGGGAGCCAAAAGGAACATCTAAGAATGTGTTCAGAGATTCTCTGCAACCTTTTTTCTGTAATTTCACTTCAAAGTATTTTAAAAATATGAAATAAAGATTCGACAACTATCGGAAAAATATTGGACTCCCACTCAAACTTTAATATTCAAACTCGTTTTGCCCCCCAAATTTTGCTATTCACACAGCTCTGTTTACTATTACAGCCAAAGCTCGGTACGTGTAACAACCTAATATAATAGATTCCTTGATATGATGTATTCTTGCTTTTTATATTGTGACCTTGAAGTAAGTATCCTTATTAAGCCACAATCTCACTGAAGTGCTGTGGGCTTGCATGCTTGCATCATTTGAACGCAGCACGGGAACTGATCGCAACTGCTCAAAAGGTGTGGCTCACCTCGGTCCGTAACTGACAGTATCCTAAATGAGTGGGGGGGGGGGGGAAAAAAAAAAAAAAACCCGCAGGGGCGCCTGCACAAGTAGGCGTTTGGTGTGTAGCGACACCACGGACCCGAGCTAACGGGGGAGTTTCTACTCCCTCCCACGCCTAGCCGTGCGTGGCTTTGCCGTGTCCGGGGAAAAGGGGATCCTGGGGGTTGAGCCGACGCTGGGTGATTGGACCTTTAAGGCCCCCCGACAGAGGCAACACACCCCTTTGGCCCCGGCTTCACGTAGACGGCACCCCTGGGCTGACCCACCCAGGGGAAATCGGCAGTCGCCTTTTCCTATCCCTCTCTCCGCATCTCCGTCTTTATCTCTTACTATTTATATGTCCTGTCTTCTACTCTCTTCCGTTTACTTCCAAACTTCCTGGCGGCTAGGGTTAACCCTGTGCAAATAGCCTACCTTGGTCTAGGCGCATTGGGTTATAGTGGCGTTGTACGGCTGGCGTCTGCAGTTTTCAGCATCTGTAAACTTGTAGCGTCCCCTCGTTGGGCTCCGTGGTGGGTGGCCGCCAACGCTGCTGAACAAAAATAAGAAAGGCATGCATGGAGCATTCCCCTTACTGTCTGATCGTACCGGCTTAAAGCGGGTACGCACCGATGATATACACTTTTTTAACCAGCCCAAAGAAACATATCCTCACTATCATGTTATCCACTGTGAAAAAACTGAAAAGCAAGCCAGAACCGTCTTTCCTTTCCTGGTTTCTAGATGTCTTACTGAAACTCTTGGCACAGGATACAAGGTAACCAAAATGGCTAGTGGAGACCTTCTCCTCGAAATCCGTGACAAAGAACAATTTGAAAAGCTAGACCGTCTGTCAGATTTCGGTGGCATACCAATAACCATAACACCACATAGATCAATGAACACAACTCGCGGAGTGGTATCTGACATGGACTTACTTGACTTGACTGAGACTGAACTTTTGGAGGGGTGGAAGAGCCAAAATGTCACTAATGTACAGAGAATCATCATTAGAAGAGATAATAAGGAAACACCGACGAAACACTTGATACTCACATTTGCATCCAGCAAACTACCGGAATCTATTCAAACAGGGTACACAAAGACATCTATCAGGACGTACATACCAAACCCTCGTCGTTGCTTCCAATGCCAGAGGTATGGCCATGGCTCTAAAACCTGTCGTGGTCGCCAGACTTGTGCACAATGTGGAGTTCTAGGCCACGTGTCTGAGAACTGCAAACAACCGCCACACTGTGTAAACTGCGAAGGAAACCATGCCGCATATTCACACTCCTGCACATACTGGAAAAAAGAAAAAGAAATAATTACGTTGAAGGTGAAGGAGAACATTACATTTAAGGAAGCACGGCGAAGAGTCTCTTCATTCTATGGACCTACATACGCTGATGCGGCGCGTCAGGGGGCACCGCCGCACAAGCCCTCGCCACTCCTTCGGCCCGCGCATACCGAGCCGGTGGTTGTGGCACCTGCCCCCAAGGCGGCTGTAGCCCAAGCTACACCGCCTACTACCAAACAGAGACCGGAGACTCCAGAGTCCTCCGGTCTCAAGGCCTCACCTCACCAGGCGAGGCCCGAAATTCGAATTAACAGCCCGCACGTGCGGGCATCCAGTGCCTCCGAGGAGGCAATGGATACGTCGGCACCCTTGGTGCCGAAAGAGCGGCGTGGCTCCCTGGAGCGCGTCAAGAAAACAAAAAAGCAGATAACAGGGCCTGGTGATGGCCCTGTTAAGTGAACTCAAACTCCCTGTCTAAACAGCCACTCGCTTTTCGTACACACAGCACTATTTCACATTCACCATGAACACTCAAATTATACAATGGAACGTCAGGGGCCTTCTCAGAAACCTTGACGACATCCAAGAACTCTTACATGAACACTCGCCAAAAGTGCTGTGTGTACAAGAAACACACCTTAATTTAAAACACACAAATTTTCTTCGTAAATACGTTATTTTCAGAAAAGACCGTGTTGATGCTATGACATCATCAGGAGGTGTTGCCATCATAGTGAATCAAGGAATTGCATGCACACACTTACAACTCCAAACATCCCTTGAGGCAGTGGCTGTTCGAGCGGTTCTTTTTGATAAACTGATCACAATCTGCACTATTTACATTCCTCCTAGCTATAAGCTGCAAAAACGCGATTTACACTCTCTAATTGATGAACTTCCGGAGCCTTATGTTCTCCTTGGAGACTTTAATGCGCATAGCAGGCTATGGGGTGACTCTCGGTATGACGCGCGAGGTCGACTGATCGAACAATTCCTTATCTCGTCGAGCGCGTGTCTCCTAAATCGAAAAGAACCAACCTATTATAACCTCGCTAATAACACCTACTCCTCCATAGACCTGAGCATAGTATCTCCATCTCTTGTGCCTCTACTCCAGTGGAAAGTCGTCAGTAATCTGTACGGAAGTTAAAGAACCCCAGGTGGTCGAAATTTCCGGAGCCCTCCACTACGGCGTCTCTCATAATCATCAGTGGTTTTGGGACGTTAAACCCCACAAATCAATCAATCAATCTGTACGGAAGTGACCACTTCCCCGTAGTTCTGAGCAC